GAACCTGGAGTTCAGGTCACTCCTCCTTCCAGTTGAAGCCTCTGCCCCTTCCAGGTGATTCCAGCCTCATTCCTCCATGGGCCAAATATCCCAAACAAAGGCCTGGACAGGGGGTCTTTATCCAAGTGCCCAGAAAACACACACGGAAAGGCTCTGCATGCCCCCATGGCCTGCCAGAGGTAAGAGCCTCCCCCTCAAAATGCACAGTCCAGGTTCTTGCAGGGAGGTGAGGAGTGGAAGAAGAAAAGGTCCATCTCATTCTTTCAGCAGGAACCTAAACTTGGGAAAGCCAGACCTAGTACATTTCTTAATCCGGATACTTTTATAACTAGTTACAGCGGGGTCACATGCACAACTGTTTTCCAACGTCTTTCAATGGGCCACATAACATCCTGTACCTTCTTTGTTTTTTTATTTTTATTTTGTAAGGCCAGGGGCGGTGGCTCACACCTGTATCTCAACAGTTTCGGCGGCAAAGGCAGGAAGACTGCTTGAGGCCAGGATTTCCAGACCAGCCTGGGCAACACAGCAAGACCCTGTACGCAACGGAGAACAACTCTATCTCAAAAAAAATGTTCTTGAGTACAGTGACATGATCACAGCTCACTGTAGCCTCCAACTCTCAGGGTCAAGCGATACTCCCACCTCAGCAGCTGGGACTCTCAGAGCACACCACCACATCTGGCTGATGCCTTAATTTTTGGTAGAGATGCAGTCTCACTATGTTGCCCAGGCTGTTCTTGAACTCTTGGCCTCAAGAGATCCTCCCAATGCTACCTCACAATGCACTGGGGTTAGAGTCATAAGCCACCATGCAGCCCCTCCAAAATCTAACCATTCTTCAGGTGCTTCTTTTGGACCTCCTAGCTAGACTGTCATTGGCAAATACTAGTTTATTATTTTCCCACATTTATGTTAATGGATTTCCCATGTTTTATTTGTCTAGACTAGGGTTTCTCAATAGCTGGACTATTGATGTTTTGGGCTGGATAATTCTTCGTTATGGAGCTGTTTGTGCCTCGCAGGATGTTTATCAGCATCCCCAGCCTCCGCCTGCTACATGCCAGTAGCACTCCTCAGTGTGACAACCAAAATGATTTCAGATATTGTCAAATATCCCCAGGGAGGCAAAATCACCTCCAGTTGAGAACTGCTGACCTAAAAACCTCTGGAACAATGTTGGATCATAGTAATGATAGCACATACTGCTCCTGACCTTAATGGGAATACCTCTGGCATCAAAGTATAGTAGTACCTGTATACTACTGTCTGGGCTGTTATTAGTACACTGTATTAGTCCATTCTCACACTGCTATGAAGAAATACCCAAGACTAGGTAATTTATAAAGAAAAGAGATTTAAATTGACTCACAGTTCTGCATGGCTGGAGGGGCATCAGGAAATTTACAATTATGGCAGAAGACACCTCTTCACAGGGCAGCAGGAGAGAGAAGGAGAGCAGAGCAAAGGGGAAAGCCTGTTATAAAACCATCAGATCTCATGAGAACTCACTCACTATCATGAGAGCAGCATGGGAGAAACAGCCCCCATGATTCAATTATCTCCACCTGGTCCCACCCTTGACACATGGGGATTATTGCAATTCAAGGTCAGATCTGGATGGGGACACAGAACCAAACCATATCATATCCTTTATATTAGTATATGGTATCAAAGTAGAATTTTCTTTCTTTCTTTCTTTTTTATTTTTCTTTGAGACAGAGTCTCACTCTGGCTCTGGCTGGAGTGCAGTGGCACCATCTCAGCTCATGGCAACCTCCGCCTCCTGGGTTCAAGCAGTTCTTGTGCCTCTGCCTCCCAAGTAGCTGGAACTACAGGTGTGTGCCACCATGCCAAGTTAATTTTGATTTTTTTTTGGTACACATGGGGTTCGACATGTTGGCCAGGCTGGTGTCAAACTCCTGGCCTCAAGTGATCCTACCATTTTGGCCTCCCGAAGTGCTGGGATTACAGGCGTGAGCAACTGCACCCAGCCTGAAGTATAATTTTCACAATGTGAAAAGCTTGACTTTCATACAGATAATGAAGGAATATGTATAAGATATTTTCTTTAGTTTCCAAGGGAGTCAGCAACACGATGAAGCTAGTAAATGAGCATTTTGAGAGACAGTGTCTGTAGTGCTCCAGGAAGGGCATTCCAAAATGCATTCTGAGATAGAGACAAAGCTTGTTAACATCCTATAGGGAAGCTGGGTGTGGTGGCTCATGCCTGTAATCCCAGTACTTTGGGAGGCTGAGGTGGGCCGATTACCTGAGGTCAGGAGTTCAAGACCAGACTAGCCAACATGGTGAAACCCTGTCTCTACAAAAAATACAAAAATTAGCCAGGCACAGTGCTGGGCGCTTGTAGTCGCAGCTACTTGGGAGGCTGAGGCTGGAGAATCGCTTCAACCTGGGAGATGGAGGTTGCAGTGAGCCAAGATCACGCCACTGTACTCCAGCCTACGCGACACAGCAAGATTCCAACTTAAAAAAAAAATCATATTGGGACATAAAAATGTCATCTTTGGGAGTTGTCTTTTCTACTGGACAGAAATTTGTAAGTTAACATATATACATATTCTCCAGTATATTCATAACATATTCTCCTGTATATTGCCCTGCACTAGTGATTTTCAAACCATGGTCTCGAATTGGAAGCATCAACATCACCTGAGAAAATAGACACACAACGCTCAGGCCCCACCTCAGTTAGAAACTCTGGTGTGGGGCCCAGCAGCTGGTTTCACAAGCCCTACAAGTGATTATGATGCACTCTAATGTGTCAGGATCACTGCTCTAAATAGTCAAATAATCTTTAATTATAAAATAAGTATCTATGAAAAATGCTACAGTATGACATTAAAAGGGCACACCACCCACCATTAACTTTATTTTTGAATTTAAATATTTTGTCTGTCTGATGATAAATTTGCTGTTGTTTTCAACTACTTTTAGACAGTTTTTCATCTTTTTCCTAATTTTCCTCTTGTTGAAATAAAAAATGGTTTTCCAATCTGTCCATTTTTCTTCTTCTTTAAACGTTTGTAGGATGAAATAAAAGTTACCATTCTTACTTTCCTGTTTTTTTGGTTTTTTTTGTTTTTTTTTTTTGAAGATGGAGTCTCACCGTTGTTGGCATTGCGCTGACTGTAATGTAATGGTGTGATCTTTGGGCTCACTGCTCCTCCACCTCTGGGGTTCAAGCGATTTCTTGTGCCTCAGCCTCCCGAGTAGGCTTAGGAATTACACGGTAGCCACATGGCAGCTTAATTTTTTTTTTCTTTTTTTAGTAGGAGACGGGTTTTTGCCATGTTGGGCCAGGCTGGTCTCCCACTCCTGACCTCAGGTGGATCTCCTGCTCAGCCTCCAAAAGTGGCTGGATTACAGGCATGAGCAGACTGCGCCAGCCTGTTTTATTTTTTTTTTCTTTTTTTTTTGAGATGGTCTCATTCTGTTCCTCAGGCTGGATGGAGTACAGTGGCGCCATCATGGCTCACCGCAGCCTCCACCTCCCAGGCTCAAGAGATCTCCCACCTCATCCTCTTTTAGGTAGCTGGGACAACATGTGTGCACCAGCAGAAGCAGCTAAATTTTTTGTAGAGACCACGGTCTCCCTATGTTGCCCAAGCTGGTCTAGAACTCCGGGGCTCAAGCAATCCACCGGCCTTGGCCTCCCAAAGTGCTCTGATTATAGGTATTATGTTCTTAAAATTTTTCTTCAACATGGTATAAGATAGTCTAGTAATTTAACATACTGTTGTTTTCAACAGGCTAGTGCTTGTGATTTGTAAAAGAACTCTTCAGAAATGAGTTCAATTTTACCATGAATTGGGACACTTTCCATTTCTTTCTATTCTATAGAGCAGTTTACTTGTCATGAGCTCTGTCTTTTGAAAACTTGAAAGCCTGCAACAATCAAACCAGCTGCACCTGGTGCATGGGATGGGCATGGAATTGAGGAGAGAGCTCAAACTACAGTCAGCCCTCTGTATCCTCGGGTTCTGGATCCCTGGGTTTTACCAACTGCGCATCAAAAATACTTGGAAAAAGTAAAACAATATAAAACAAACATTTATAAATACTTTATAACAGGCATTTACAAAGCATTTACGTTGTATTAGGTATTATAGTAATCTAGAGATGATTTAAAGTATACGGAAGAATGTGCATAGGTTATATGCAAATACTATGCCATTATTATCTCAGGGACTTGAGCATCGGTGAATTTGGTATCTCTGGGGTCTTGGAACCAATATTCTGAGGTTACTAAGGGATGACTGTATTCAATTTCTTCTCTGGTTATTAGTTTATTCTCTAATGTATTTTTGTCGTTGTTTTGTCTTTTCGTTTTGGCCTCTTGAAGTCAATGTCGGAAACTTAGTTGTTCTAGATTACCCATTAGCTCAAAGTTACCGGTAAGCAGACTACGACTGCAATCTAAGCAACCGATTTTTTCCCCATCAGATTGGCAAAAATTAAGCATCTATTAATGTTGAAGCTGTACGGCGTTTTCCTGAGCATGTTAATTATGACAGCCTTTTTTGTTAGGCACCTAGACGATTGATTCATCAAAATGAAATAAAATACCCATGCACTTGACGAAGTTATCTGGTTATTTCCTTATCTGCGTGCTGGTTATGTGAAGTCTACAGTTGATGAAAACTTACTGAGCTTTATATTTATAATAGGTACAATGTTCTGTATGTGTAGTACATTTCAATAGTTTTTAAAATGTCTTCTGCCACAGCCCGCAGCTGTGTATAACGCTATTCGCTTAACAGTGGAAAACATGGCAATGCCTGAATCCCCCTGGCTCCCGGGATCCTACTCCCTTAAGTTAAACAAATGAAATAACTTCCACTGTCTTTCGTAATGCCTTAATTCTGTCCTCAGTTAAACTAGTGGTGGGCGCTGGTTTTTTCCAGGGAAGGATTCTGGAAGACGAAGAGGAGAAGCCAGCATTTCGCCCCCGGCACCTCCAGTTGGCTGCGGTCCGCTGGCAGCCTCGCTGGAGCAGGCCCCGCCCTCGCAGAGGCCGTTAGTCCAAGTCAGGTGATCGTGGACTCCCCTGACCCGGCGGGACCGGAAAAAGGAATTCCCGGGTCCGGCTTCCCGGCGCGATGGTGAGGACCCCAGGGGTGAAGCGAGGCAAGGGCTGCTGGAGCGGGAATGAGGAGGCGCCAGTGGCTCCGAAAACTGGGGGAGTTTGTCTGTACTGGTCTCTCCGCAAACACAGTGTGTGGGGGCCTGACGGCTGTGTGTCCGCCAGGGAAAAGTCCACCGCTACCCCTCTCCGGAGACGGGGGCGGGGTGGGGGGCGGGTAAGACAGAGCAGGCCGGCCGGCTTAGAGTCCCTGTGCTTCCCTGGGGGAAGGAAGGGCCCCCGCCTCCCGGGGCAGGAAGTGGGGCTTGTCTGGAGCTGGGAGTCCTTTCAGGTCTTCCACAGCCCCAAGAGGACCTCCCAAGGACACCCCCTTCCCCAGCCCTGCTGTGAGACTTAGACAAGGTGCTTAGAATCAGGCTCACTCTTGCACACTGTTAGGAAGCCCCTCCGCTCTTTCCAGAGCCAGGAAGTAGTAGTTCTGCGGTTGAGACTTATCCATCCATCCATCCATCCATCCATCCATCCATCCATCCATCCAGTCCATCCATCCGTGCTTTCTAAGCGCCTAGTCTATACCATGAAGTGTGCTAGGCACTGGGAGGACTTGAGCTGCCCAGGGAAGGGGAAATCGGAGGCTTGAATTGGAAATCATAGTTAACGCTCCAGGGGCAGAGACCTAACGGCGCTTTGTGTGTAGTGCTAAGGGGTCTACCTGAGGATGCTATTAACCTTAAAGGCTGATGGCAGGAGCTGGCTGGCCGAAGTACAGTTTGTGTACCAGGGGTTGGGAGGCAAGGGTGGGAGGCGTGTGTCTTCAGACAGGGAACAGCATGTGCAGAGAATTCAGGTGAGAGAGAGCATGGCTCCCTAGAAATGAATGCATATTCCCATAGCTGGGAGAGTATCATCTGGAGGTGAGAGAGAAATGAGGCTGCACAAGTAAAGACCAAATCTTCCTGGCTCTTGGATCACCACAATCAAGATAATGAACATCTCCACCCACCCCCAAAATTTCCTTGTGTGAGGGGCTATTTTAGGAAGTATGATCAAGAAGGGCCAGCCTAGCCAGGTGCGGTGGCTCAGGCCTGTAATCCCAGCACTTTGGGAGGCTGAGGTGTGTGGATGACCCGAGGTCAGGAGTTCAAGACCAGCATGGCCAACGTGGTGAAACCCTGTCTCTACTAAAAATACAAAAAAGCCGGGTGTGGTGGCACATGCCTGTAGTCTCAGCTACTTGGGAGGCTGAGGCAGGAGAATTGCTTGAAGCTGGGGAACGGAGGTTGCAGTGAGCCAAGATTGTGCCATCGCACTCCAGCCTGAGAAACAGAGCAAGACTCCAATTTTCAAAAAAAAAAAAAAAAACAGGGGGCTGTTCTGATGAGATGTCACTTGAGCAGAGAGTGGAATGAAATAAAGGATAGCAAGCCACACAGAGAGTGCAGCAGGCATGGCAGCGAGAGCAAGGCTGGTGTCCCCGAGCAGCAGCAGGGAAGCCGGAGTGGCTGGACTTGTGTGGGTATGGGGAAGAGGGGAGAGAGGTCACTCATCTGTGCGAGGCCCAGGACTTTGTTTTAATCCCCTGCTGTACCCCCAGCCCTTAGAGTGGGAGCTAGCACAGAGAAGGCGCTTGATTGATGTTTGCTGAGCAGACAAAAATGCCTGGAGTAGACCTCAGACCAGGGTTTGGTGGCAGGGTGGGTCAGGAGAGAGTTCACTCAACAGCCTGGTGATAGGGGAGAACAAGTGGCCAGAGGGTATCCATCTATGATGGGGACTGGGGGTCCCTGCTGGACAGAAGTGTGGGAGACACGGATCCTGGCCACACCTCAGCCCTCCCTCCAGCCTGATTACCTGCCCCCCTCCCTTGCAGAGGTTTCGGTTCTGTGGTGATCTGGACTGTCCCAAGTGGGTCCTGGCAGAGATCAGCACGCTGGCCAAGATGGTTAAGTGCACAGGGTCTAGCTGGGTGGAGGAGGGGTGCTGGGGCTGGGGACTGTGGGTGTAGATGATGGTGAGGTTTTTCTGGGGTTAGGGCCTCAGTGCTCTCAGCCTGTGCTAGCATGCCTTGTGACCTTGATCAGAGGCTGGCCTGCTCTGAGCCAGTCCTCAGGAAGGAGGGGTGAGGTTTGCCAGCCTGGCTGATGTAAGGACTTCCCTTCCAGTCCTCTGTGAAGTTGCAGCTGCTCTGCAGTCAGGTACTAAAGAGCTGCTGGGACAGGGGAATGATGTGAGTACAAGACCCAGCACCCCATTGTCCCATGACCTAATGACCCCCAGTGCCCTGAAGCTCTGCGCTAGGCCCGGGGAGATGGGTGACCCAGCCTGTCAACCTCTCTAGGCATCTCCCATACTTCTTTCCAGCCTGTCTGTTCCTTATTGCAGGATCCAGGCTGGGGTTGAGGGGCTGGTGAATAGGGTACTGGCACCCCCTGAAGGTCTCCTCTCCCCATAGTATGAGAAGATCCTGAAGCTAACAGCTGATGCCAAGTTTGGTGAGTACCCCGCTGAGTCCACAGGCCCCAGGCAACCCTGGGACTTCAGCCTGGTGCCTGGTACAGAGGCCCCCCCGCTCCCACCCCTCCCAGCAGCATCCTTAACCTGCCTTCCCTAGTGGAGGAGCATAAGGGAAAGAAAGACAGTGACAGTCCCACCTTCCTGTCCTTTGCCAGCTCCTGGTGGAGCAGTAGCAGTGCCCATAGCTCCAGGAGGCCTCAGGGCTTTGAGCTGAAGTTAATAGGGCAACAGGGAGGTGACTGGGGCCACAGTGACACCCCCTGTCCCACCCACGGGTCCCTCAGAGTCTGGCGATGTGAAGGCCACAGTGGCAGTGCTGAGTTTCATCCTCTCCAGTGCGGCCAAGCACAGTGTCCATGGCAGATGCTTGTCCAATGAACTGCAGCAGCTGGGGCTGCCCAAAGGTATAGGTTGTGGGTGGGCAGCTGGGCAGCCTGTGGGCCAAGGGCTGCTAGAGAGGGGGCCAGGCCCTGTGACCCCAAGGTGTACCCTGCCCTGTCTGGACCAGGAACCCAAGCCCAGCCCCCACCTGCTACCTCCAGAGCTACCCCGTTCTACCCCCAGAGCACGCGGCCAGCCTGTGCCGCTGTTATGAGGAGAAGCAAAGCCCCTTGCAGAAGCACTTGTGGGTCTGCAGCCTACGCAGTAATTATGACACCAGCCAGGGTCCAGGCTCATTCTAGAAGATGCATGCAGCATGCAGAGTGCATGGAGAGTCCAGGGAGATGGCTTAACCATGGTCACATACGAAGCAGCTGCAGAGCTGCGACCTGGCCCTGGGTGTCCTGACTCCGTGGACTCTGTCATGTGTATGTACATGATCAGACCTTGCCCTTTTCTTCTGGCTGACCCTTCCTTAGTTGCCCATGCCCCATATGTGAGCACCTTGCTCATTCTCATTCCTCCCTCTCTGAAGTGTGGTCCCTGGCAGCACAAGTGGCAGAAGGGGCAGCAGAGACTGTGGACCCCTCAGCTGCACCTAAGACCTCTGTGTGGTCTAGCTAGTGTGCTGGGGGAGGCTTTTGGCCACCATTTCCCCCTCTGTAAATGAGACCGATACCTGTGGCATGGAGGGCGGGAGGCCGATGTGAGTGCCAAGCACTTGGCACCATGCCCCTGAATGAGCATGGACCTGGAAGCAGGGGTGTTCCTTGACTTTATGCACCTTGGGGATGGGCGTGGGGCTCTCTGTGTGGGTTGACAAGGCATTGCTTTCCCCCACTCCACCTCTGTCCCAGCCCTGCAAGTCCAGTCCTTGGGGGTCCAGGAGGGAAGAAGCCCCTGGCTGTGTGACCTCGGGTTGATGCCTGGCCCTCTCTGGCTCTGAGTTCCTGGGAAAGTCAGCACCCAAGGCACGCCCTCAAGTTTAGCACCCTGACAAGAAGGACGGGGACACTGGGATCAGACCGAAACCTCTGGCCCCAAATCCCGCAGCCCCAGCTGGAGAATGAGGAGATGCTAGGCTTGGGTGGGGAAATCAGGGATGTAAAGAGGCCTGCTCACCCCTCAGCCTGGCTCAAAGGCTCAAGGCATCAAAGGGTAAGTTTGCCCCTCTGGAAGAAGCCTGGGCCGAGCCAGACACTCACCAGCACAACGGCGGCTGTGATGAGCAGGAGGCCCAGGATGAGGAGAGCCACGGCATAGCTGGAGATGGAGGTGTCCAGCGGGCTGGAGGTTTTGGGGCTAGGAGTGCCTAGAGCAGAGCTAGAAGGCTATGACCAGGCGGGGCCCTGCCTCCCAGACTTCTGAGAAGGCAGAATCTGGGCCCAGAAGGTGCTGCGGGACCAGAGAGCTGGGGCTAGGAGCATCTTGGAGGGCTCCATGAGGAGGGGAGGCAGGCTTCAGATCAGGGCATGCAGAGGCAGCAAGCCCAAGGGAGGAGGCAGATGGACAGAGGGAGGGGGCCTGCAGAGGGGAGGAGGTACTGACCAAAGTCTGGGATGACTGTGTCTACCAAGAGGCCGTCTGGCCCTCTGCCTCCCACAGGATGTGCAGACCCTGGCATGCACAGACCACATGAGGGCTCAGACTGGCGCCACCCTGAAGAAGGTGGCACCCACTCTGTCAGTCAGTGGGCCCGGTCTGGTGAGAGGATTATCACACACGTCAGGGGGCTGGGCAGCCTTGGGGGACTAGGGGAGGTCATCTCTTCCAGCCTCCTGTCCTCAACTCCAGAACCCTGGTTGGAGCCCTGGGTCACCCAGGGCCACCCTGGAGCCACCGGAATTCCTCCACCACCACTTGGTCAAAGTTCTGCAGAGGTCTGAGGATGAGGGTCAGCTCGGGGGTCCGGAGAGGATGAAGAGGGTCACAGCTCTACCAAACAAAGCCTCATTCCTTGTGGCATCTGTCCTACCTCTCTGCTGCCAACTTCGGGCTGGCCCAGCCCTGCAGAGTACGTGCCCAAAGGCATCAGTAGCAGTTCCTCTCATGCTGGTCTCTCCCCAGGGCCTCCTCTGGAGCCTGGTACCACAGATCTCAGGGTGGGAGGTACAGCTCAGTCTCCCTTCCCCCTCATGCCCCTCATAGGGGCTTTGTCCACCAAGGCCCCTGGCTGCTAGGGGACCCACACCCACGGCCTCCCTCTTTCTGACTGCTGGCCCTTCCACAGCCTGGATACTTGAGCCCTGGGCAGAGAGGTAACGATCCCAGGACTGTCTTCGCAAGCAGAGAGGCTGCTTGGCACGAGACCCTGACTCCTTGGGTTGAGCTCAGCAGCAGGTGTGTCACCAAGGCCCCCTGGGCAGAAGGGGCTCAGCCCTTAGGGCTCATCACTCGCCACACCTGCATGTTCCTGCTAGGCATCCACCCTGGGGACCCAGCTTTCCCCCTGCCGCCAGCTGCTGGCAGCCCCCTCTTGACTTCTCCAGGGTCCTGGAGGCCACACCAGGTAGCATCCAGCAGCTGGCAGGAGCTCTTGGTGTTTCTGCATTTGTTTTAATTAAGCTCCCTTGGGTGGGAGGGGCTACAGACTCAAGGGAGACTGCAGGCCACCCCTTCCCCACTCCCTGGCTGGGTGGGCTTCCAGCTCAGGAGTCTGACTGGAAGGACGGGACCGTCCTGTCACAGAGGCAGGTCTGAGTAGTCCAGGCCCAGTTTTACCCTCCAGCGGGGCCCCTCCCATTCACTTGTCCAGCTGGCTTTGCCCAAAGCACAAGTGATGTCTATGTGGACTGTGTCCCCTGTCCCCAAGGGGAGTATGGCTCCAGTCCTGGCCTGGAACTCATAGACCTTATAATTAGAGGCCACATTCTAATTGGCCTCTAATTGGCAGGGGGGACCAGCATGGTTTGCCCACAGCCAGGGCATGGGCAGCCCATGTTGGCAGCCCCAGACCTGACACCACAGCTCCCGTGTCCCCTCTCCACTTCCGTCCTGCACATCACCTACACTACGTGCTGTCTCTGATGAATCCAAGCTGTCAGCTTCTGTCAGCTTGTCTGGGAAGTCACACTGACCGTAAGGGCAACGGTGCAGCCTGAGTTGGGGGCTAAGTGGGAATGGGCCTGGTGTGGGGTGGGGAAGGCAAGTGTCTGGTGCCTCTCTGCTTATCTTCCCTTCTCCCTTGCCCACAAAGGAGGCATCTTCTCCATGTCCCTCTGCCACTCCGGGGACATAAAATACATAAAATACTGCCCCAGGTCTGTCTTTCCTTGGACATAGCCCACCTACCTTCCTGTGGGACTCAGGGCTTTGTTTTGTCCTGTGGCCCACATGAGAAGCAATTATCCCTGCTCTGCTCAGCTGAAAGAGGACAAACTGAGGCAGAGCAGGGGAACAACTCTGTCATAGTCTGGCTGTTAATGGTAGAGTCAAGACCAGCCCTTCCCTGAGTGTCAGGTCCAACGGACACTGTATTAGTCCGTTTTGCGTTGCACTAGAGGAATACCTGAGACTGGCTTATTTATTTATTTTTGAGATGAAGTCTAGCTCTGTTGCCCAGGCTGGAGTACAGTGGCATGATCTCAGGATGCTGCAACCTCCACCTCCTGGGTTCAGGCTACTCTCCTGCCTCAGCCTCCTGAGTAGCTGGAATTATAGCCATGCACCACCATGCCTGGCTAATTTTTTGTATCTTTAGTAGAGACAGGGTTTTGAGATGAAGTTTTGCTCTTATGGCCCAGGCTAGAGTGCAATGGTGTGATCTCAGCTCATTGCAACCTCTGCCTCCCAGTTCAAGCAATTTTCATGCCTCAGCCTCCCAAGTAGCTTGGATTACAGGCATGCACCACCATGCCCACCTAATTTTGTATTTTTAGTAGACAGGGTTTCACCAGGTTGGCCAGACTGGTCTTGAACTCCTGACCTCAAGTGATTCACTCGCCTCGGCCTCCCAAAATGCTGGGATTACAGGTGTGAGCACCACTCCTGGCCCTGAGACTGGGTAATTTATAAAAGAGGTTTATTTGCCTCACAGTTCTGCAGGCTGTACAAGCATCTGCTAGGCTTCTGGTGAAGACTCAGGAAGCTTTTACTCCTGGTGGGAGGCTAAGAGGGAGCAGACGTGTTGCATGGTGAGAGGGGAAGCAAGAGAGAGGAGGCATCAGGCTCTTTTAAACAACCAGCTCTCCGGTGAACTAATAGAAAACTCACTGAATCACTTGAACCTGGGAGGTGGAGGTTCCTGTGAGCCGAGATTGCACCACTGCACTCCAGCATGGGCTGTGAACGAGACTCTGCCTCAAAAAAATAAATAAAAAATAAAATAATAAAACTCACTCATTACCATGGGGAGGGCACTAAGCCATTCATGAGGGATCCCCCACCATGACTCAAACACCTCACACTATAGGTCCCACCTCCAGCATTAGGGATCACGTTTCAACATGAGATGTGGATGGGACAAGTATCCAAACTATGTCAGAGGCCTCCCCCTCCCTCTCATCAGAGTCTTCTGTCCTCAATTCAGGTGCATGCTGGCGTCCATGCCTGGCTTCCTAGGAAATCATCTTGGCCCCAAGGGGTCAGGCAGGGCCACTAGGCTGAGGGTTGGAGCCCTAGCTCTCCTAGTCCCAGCCTGGGTCTCCATCACTGGCTAGCCCACTCTGCTTGCTGCGTTCTCTCCACACCTGTTCCCTGCAGCCCAGGGGTCAGTCTGGGTGCAGGCATGGGTAGAGGTCCAGAAGCAGACTCTGCAACCCCCTGAGCTCATACCTCCTGTGCACCACAGCAGCCAAAATGCACCAGCATGGCCAGGAGCACTGGCTTGTCCCTGTAGTATCAGTGTTTTGGGAGGCTGAGGTGGAAAGCCCTTGAGACCAGCCTGGGCAACATAGCCAGAGCCTGTCTCTACAGAAAATAAAATTAGGCATGGTGGCATGCACCTGTGGTCCCAGCTACTCAGGAGGCTGAGGTGGGAAGATCGCATGAACCCAGGAGGTCAAAGCTGCAGTGAGCTATGATTGCACCACCGCACTCCAACCTGGGCAACGGAGCAAGACCCTGTCTCTAAAACAAGAAACAAAGTGCACCAGTGTGTGGATACCAGCTTCTCCTGGTGTGTGGACCTGACTGTACTTGGCCCCATCGGTGAGTAAGAGGCTGCCTGCTGTCTTCCAGAACATTCCCAACACTACACCTGTGTCCCTCCTGCATGCTCTGGCAGGCTTTGTGAGGGGACCTGTCACCTACCTCTCTGACTGCCCTAAGGCCCAGCTCAAACCTTACCTGCACCTGAGAACCTTTTTCTGAAGAGTCTTTCCCCCAGCCACAGACCCCCTCATTTCAGAGCTTTTGGTGGGGTGAGTACAAGGATCGACTCTCTGCTACCAGCCTGAGAGGAATTGTCCCCAGGGTTGGGTCTCTGGATGGCATATGAGGGTCTAGACCAGGACCCAGATGCCTGTAACCTGAAGGGCAGGACTTTGGCTGCCCCAGCTTCACAGAGCCCCTCATCCAACCTGACCTTCCGGGACAGGCCCAACCCCTGCATCCTTTGGTCTTGGTCCCTACTGGGAACTCTGGTTACCCTGGCTTACCTACTTTGACTCAAAAGGTAATGCTGACATCTCCCGTGAGACACAGTAACAGACTGCGACTAATGTAGGGTTACCCGGCTCAGAGTCACCATGGCCAGGCAGAGCTCAGGTCCTAGCCTTGTTCAACCTCTGCCTCCCAGGTTCAAGTGATTCTCCTGCCTCAGCCTCCTGAGTAGCTGGGACTACAGGTGCATGCCACCACGCCTGGCTAATTTTTTGTAGTTTTAGTAGAGATGGGGTTTCACCGTGTTAGCCAGGATGGCCTTGATCTGACCTCATGATCTGCCCACCTCAGCCTTTCAAAGTGCTGAAATTACAGGTGTGAGCCACCGTGCTCAGCCTCGCCAGTGCCCTTGTATCTCTGGTGCCCTGCAGGGTCTACTTTGGAGCACCTGGAGCCCAAGAAGCTGCCCCTCACCTTTGTGATCCCAGGAACCCCCTCCCTGATCATGAAGAATGGAGACCCAAACCCGCTGAGGTGCCTGAAGGAGCAGGGTCAGCCTCTGCCTCCCACGGCCTCTGATGGTGAGGATGTTATCCCAGCAGCGAGAGCTGGGAGCAGAATCAGGAGGATGGGGGTTTTCTCTCTGGGTAGCTCTGGGCTCCAGGGTGGAGCCCTCTTAACCTGGCCCCTCCCCTGTGACTCTCCTTGGCCCCAGGCAAAGAAAGCAGCTTGCCTGGGGTTACCTGTCAGATAGGGACAGAGAGGGACCTGTGTTGTTTCTCACCCAGCTGCAGCTCCCCCTCCACCTGGCCCCTTCCCCCAGGTGATAGAGAACCTGGCATGCTGTGCCCTGTAGAAGAGTTCCCTTTCCTTCTGGTGAGGAATGGGAACTGGCTTGGGGCAGGAGGGATGAGGGGTCTGGGGGCTCTCTCATCCCGGCCTCACATTTGAAGATTGCCATCTGGGTGGCAGCATGGTTTAGGCTCGACAAGGCGGCCCCTAGGTTTATAGCCTGGCCTCGGGCAGGATGCTGCCATGCCACCTTCTCTTCTGTGCATCCTGAACTGGCACCCTACTTAGTTAAATGTCCTCAGGCCTCCTGCACCTTGGGCATTGCCCCCACTCCCTGCCCAGACACAGCTGTCCTTGTCCTGGACTAATCTTCAGAGATTCTTGTTCAGCCCACAGCTTTGCTGGACATCGCAGGCTGTGCCAGGCCCCCTGCCCAGCACTAACATCTCTTTGTGAGTCTCAACCAGACTGAGCTGCAGCTTCAGGGTCAGGGTAGGCGCTGAATTAATTGATGTGACCCAGGACAAGGGGGTTTATTGATGGTGTCACATCTGCTTAAACTCTTGGCCTCTATGGTCTCTTCGGGGCAGGATACCCCTCTGTCCCAAGCTTAGGTGCCCACATGTGGCCACAGTGCCTTTCCCACCACCATCCCTACTGCAGGCCGGTGTCCAGGCACCTGTGGCTCCAGGCAGAAGGCTGAGTGCAGAGCCAGGCCTGGGCAGATGTTCCACAGGGGCTGCAGGAGCTGACAGCCCTGGCCACCCAGCCCATGGCCATCCATTCCCCTTCACCGTGGCTGGCCCCTCATCCACCATCCTTCCAGGGGCTAGGCCTGGGCCCAAACTGACTTTTGCCTGCCCCTAGTCTCCCTCGTGTTCTTGGCTAAGCGTGATGGTCTTGCCCATTTCCTTGATTATCTTCAATCAGAGGTTTATAGAGCCACCTGGGGACATCACATCTCCTGTCTACCAGGTCCTCACCAGAGACAGGACTGCCTTGGCCCGGGCCTGGGATACTCAGGAGTCACACTCGCCTGTTGGGACCTAGCTTCAGCGGCTTCAGTCTGGGCAATGGCCTGATGGGCGGCTGCCCCTTCTCCTCTGCTTTGGGGAGGCAGGAGAGGAAGGTCAGGCAGGAGATCTGCTTCCTGCCCACCTGAGGCTGGTTGGAAGCAGGGTGCCCACCTGTGCTTGTCTCACCTTGCTGCAGGTGCATCGGAGGCTGAATCCCTCTCCTGATCTCCTGCAGGTGCAGATTCCAGGTTTCCAGTGGGTGTCGGAGTGGGCTCCAGTGCTCTCCTGGCCCTAGGAAACCCTGGGCTACATGAAGCCTTGGCCTAGCCAGATTGTTTCCCACACTGTCACTCCCCACTGTCACCTCCCCAAACATGGGGCTGCATGCTGTGTGCCCTGGGTGGGACATTGGAAGGAGTTCCACCTTCCAGGTTTGGATCACAGTAAAGCCTCTGCCATGGGGATGTGCTGGCCGAGACAGACGGGGTTGAACCAGCCCTGTCACGTTGGCCTTGGGCAAGTCACCTGTGCCTTGCTTCCCTTTCCCCAGCAGCCAGGAGGGGATAATAGCACCTATTTCACCCATAGCCAGCGCTCACTTGTTAACGGTAACTGAGTCCCAGAGAAGGTGCAGGCAGAGCCATCGAGGCAGCACTGCAGCTGGACCTGGTCTGAGTCCCAGCTCCTGGCTGTGAGATGTGTCTCTCCCTCTGTTTATTCATCTGAAGGACAGGGCTGTGCTGTTCTGGGGTCACTGTGACAATGCAGCTGGGCTGTGTGAGTTGGTGGTGGCCTCCTGAGATGGTTTGAGGTGGGCTGGAGGTGTGTCTTGAATGCCCCCTCACCCCCACGGGGAAGACCCACTTAGGGAAGACTCATGTGTCTGTATGGAAGAACCCACGTTCCCCACCTCTCAGCTGTCCTCTGTCCCTTCCCAGCCCCCTCTGCTGTTCTGTAGGCTCTGGCAGTTGTCATCCCGCTTGGTGGCCATCTGGCTGGTCCACTCTTCCAGGTGGACCCTCTCTCCTCACATGGTGCAGGTACCATTGTGCCACCTCCAGACAAGCCACACTAGCCCCAGGGCCTCCTTTCTCTGGTACCCAGCCCCTGCCACTAGGTATGTGCCCCCTCCCTAAAGCCCGCTGTGTTCACCAGCTGTGTTTGAACTCTGTCTCTGTGCAAGGCCTCATGCAAAGCCTGAAACAGCCTGGCTTGTAGAGGACCAGGAGACCAAAGCTTGAAGACAGAGTGACGGTCTCCCAGAGCCCACTTAGCCTGAGCCCCAGGGCTGCGTCCATGCTGGTCCTGGCTCCAGTGGGCCAATTCTCTCCCGTGATATCTGTAAGGGCTCCTGTGGTGATGGAGGTGGCTGGAGAGAACAGGCTGCCATAACCCTCCCTCCCTGAGAAGGCCCAGTGGGGAACGTTTTAGGCATCAGGGCATCCTGGGGAGCATCTTCCAGGGACCCCTCCTACACCCTGCCCCGCCCTGGCTCTCTAGTCAGAAACTGCATTTCCTTGGACAGCGGGGCTGACCCAGGACAAATGCATCTATTAGGCTGGTTTTCAGGGTGCTGGGGTGGGGGCAGGGGCGCTTCATGGATAGGAAGGAGAGGCCTGTGTGTTCCAGAAGTACAGAGGAACCTGGTGCCAGCCACAGTCAACCCCGATGTGATGACCTTTCTACCCACCCTCTTTGATGTCTTGGTGCTGGCTGCTGTCCTTGGCCAGGTAAGTTCATGGTCTGGGCTCCTGGGGTCCCCTCACTGGGCCTGCCCACTGCCTGAAGGTAGGGGAGCCTACGGGCCAGGACTGTCCTTGGCTTCCCCCTTTCAGATCATGGGTTCAAAGACCATTCCTGGGTTCCACCACCACCAAGCCTCAACGGTGTCCTGATGGGCACAGGAGCTGCTGGGGCTTTCTAGGTTAAGACCCTTGCCTATCCCGGTGTTCCCCCGCTGCAGTACGGGGGCTGGAGGGGTCAGCCTCAGTCTCTGCCCTGGGAGCTTGCCTTACCTTGCCCCGGCAGCCCGACAATGCCCTGGAAGACCCCCCACACCCAGTGGCTCTGATCCACTGTGGAGCAGCCAGGGCCCCCGTTGCTCATACCCTCTGGCCTGAGGCTGACTGGCATTGTGGCTGGGTTTGGGGGTCAGGGTTGGGGGTGGGCCTTGCCCTCAGCAGCTCCCAATCCCACTCTGACCCCTTTTCAATCTTCCTCCTCTTGTGGGCTCTACCTTGGGACCCTCCCAGCTCCTCACACCGGATGACTTTCTAAATATCCAGAAATCACTCTTTAAAATACCAGCTTCGGGGCTAGGAGTGCCTAGAGCAGACCAAGAAGGCTATGGCCAGGCAGGGCTCTGCCTCCCAGACTTCTGAGAAGGCAGAATCTGGGCCCAGAAGTTGCTGTGGGACCAGAGAGCTGGGGCTAGAAGCATCTGGGTGGGCTCCGTGAAGAGGGGAGGCAGGTTTCAGATCAGGGCATGCAGAGGCAGTGAGCCTGAGGGAGGAGGCAGGTGGACAGATGGAGGGGGCCTGCAGAAGGAAGGAGGTACTGACTGAGGTCTGGGATAACCACCTCTACCAAGAGGCCCTCTGCCTCCCCCAGGATGTGCAGACCCTGGCGCACACAGTCCCACATGAGAGCCTGGGCTGGCACTGTCCTGAAGAAGGTGGCACCCACTCTCGTGGTCAGTGGATCCAGCCTGGTGGGAGGATCATCCCACTTCAGGGGGCCAGGCAGCCTGAGTGGCCTAAGGGAGGTCGTCTCTTCCAGCCTCCTGCCCTCAACCCCAGAACCCAGGTCTGAGCCCTGGGCCACCTAGGGCCACCCTGGACCCACCAGAATTCCTCCACCACCACTTGGTCAAAGTTTTGTAGAGGTCTGAGAACAAGAGTCAGCTGGGGGATCAGGAGAGGATGAAGAGGGTCACAGCTCTACCAAAGTCTTGTCCAGTCCTCCCCCATCTTCCCGAGGCCTCTTCCCCGACCCCCCTACTTCATCCCGCCACTTCACCCGTCTCGTCAGCTGCCCCTGAAGTGCCCAGAAGTCAGGGCTGGTTTTGTCCTCCAAGGCCTTGGTGTAGGGCTGGCCCAGGATCTGCAGCCAAACTTCATACAGCACCAGCTCCGCCTTCTCCCCTAGAGAGATGGGGGTGGAGGTGGCATCAGCCTGCACTCCCTCTCCTGGAAGCCCTGGGGTGGGACGCGCACCCAAGCTCTAATGCTCCATCCAGGGGTCAGCTGCTGCTGGTCTAAAAACAAGATTTCTTGCTGCCTGTTTTTGTGTGACTCATGAGCTAAGAATGGCTTTTACATGTTTAAATGGTTGAAAACATGGAAAGTAGAATCGTATCTTGTGACACATGAAAAGTACATGACATGCAAACTTCCACGTCCATAAAGAAAGGTTTCTGGGAATGTGGCCATGCTCATTTGTTGACATGTTGTCTAGGGCTGCTTTCTTGCTGCAGGGGAGGGTTTGAGTATGTGATGACGGAGACTCAGTGGCCTGCAGAGCCTTAAAGAGTTTCCATCTGGCCCTTTACAGAAAACGCTTGCTACCCCCTGCACTGATCCATCTAATGGAATACGCTGCTCACTCCGAGAGTTGATCCTAGTAGGAAATGTTGCTGACCATTTAACAGATGCTGCTTTTATGTTTTATTTTGTCGCTGCTCTGGTGGGAGACATGTAAGAAAATTAACTCCCTGGGAGGAGGTCATGGTGGGGCTTGTGGCCATCAATGGTGAAGCCTCTTTAAGAGGATGTGTGGGGAGCTCTACCGTCTGCTGAGGGAGTTGTGATGGGCCCTCTGTGTTGAGGAATGAAGAGGGAACATAGCCTGTCTGGTGGGAACTGACTTTCTGGGGAGCAGAAGAGATGGTAGTTTGGGCCTGTGGAGGCAGAGGCCCAAACCAATCTGGTCTCTGGGGCAGCCGGCAGGGAGAGTAACTGTGTAGGAGTGGGTGTGAGGGCAGAGCCCGAAGGAGGGCACCCCTGACCACACTCCCAGGAGGCTGCGGTGGTGGGGGTGGGGCAGCACTGTAGGAGGACCAGTGCCTTCTGTGGCTTTGGGGTCCTTGGAGAGCAGCTGTGGGCTGTGCATACCTGGAGGGGACTGATTTGACCCAGCACTCTCCTAACTTGGGTGTGGACCAGCTCTCCCTGTTAGGATGGCATGAGCTTGCAGAAGTCATCCTATCAGGAGGCCTCAAGAGGAGATATGGGTTTCTTACAGCCCCTGCACTGGGGCAGAGCTGAGGGTTTTTGCCTCTGACTTGGTGGGACAGATCTTGTCATGCATGTGAGAACTCAGTGAGGTCCTGGGCAATCAGGGACGTGACGGGACCCTCTCATCCCTCTGATCTTGACTGCTTCTCGCCTATGTCCAGCTCCTTGCTGAAACTCTATGCCCCATTCCTCTCTGTGGCCCCAACACATGAGCGAGTATTGTCTGAAGAAAATTCTGCCCATTCTCTAGAAGGAGAACACCGAGGTTTAGAGAGGGGAAGAGCCTGATGGCCCAGAGACACACAGGGATCACAGCTGTACTAAAAACACAAAAATTAGCTGGTGCACATGCCTATAATTCCAGCTACTAGGGGCGCTGAGGCACAATAATTACTTGAACCCAGGAAACAGAGGTTGCGTGAGCCATGATCTCACCACTGCACTCCAGCCTGTGCAACAGAGACACTCCACCTTGTCTCAAAAAAATAGTTAAAACCCTTTTGTCCAGTGTAACCTTTTTCAAAATATATACTCAAACATAGAAAAGTCTAGAAATGTCACCAATGGTAATTTCAGGAAAGAATTCTAAGGTGACTTGTTTTGGTTATCTGCATTTTTTTTTCTTTTATTTTTTGGACATAGGGTCTTGCTCTGTCACCCAGGCTGGAGTGCAGTGACCCGATCAGGGATCACTGCAGCCTTGACCTCACAGGCTTAAGCCATGCTGCCACCTCAGTCTCCTGATCAGCTGGGATTACAGGCACATGCCAGCACACCTGGCTAATTTTTGGATTTTTGGATTTTTTGCAGAGATGGGGTTTTGCCGTGTTGCTCAAGCTGGTCTTAAGTGATTCACCCACCTCAGCCTCCCAGAGTGCTGGGATTACAAGTGTGAGCCGTGTGTGCCAGGCCTATTTTCTATAATGACCATGACCATGGATTTCATGTGCCAATATTTTTCTAACAATAATATTTACAAAGCATACTATGAAAAATATTCAGAGAAAAAGAAGAATACAAAAATGTAAAAATCATATATAACTAGTTTTTTGTTGTTGTTGTTGTTAAAGGAAGAAAGAAACAAAGTAGATTGTCCAGGAAGATAGTTACTTCCACTTTGTATTTCTCTGGTGAACTCATTAGGAACTCTAAAAAGTTCCAGGAGTAGAATCACAGGGTCAGAGTACCCCGGCTTTAACTTCTGGTTCAGAGAATCCTAACAACTTACATTGTCACCAGCAAGTTCTTTGACTACCTGAGCAAATCTCACCTTAAATCAATTCTCACCTGACATTAGCTGCTCAGCTTTCCGCTGATACATTGATTCCAGGAGACTCCTTGAGTTCTGTGTGTTCGGCTGGCCTCCGGTGGCCCCATTATTATTTTCTGCCAGGTAAAGGTCAGTCACCTGCACACAGATCTCATCACTCATGATATGCTGCAGCTGGAATCAAACAAAGGCAAGCTGTTAGTGAACACACAAAACATTTCTCCATTATACAGTCAACTCAGAAAAGTTTTTAATATCTTTTGCTAGCAATTTTAGAAAATTAATCATACAAACCACTGTATCATTTTCTTGGAGAATAATCAAGCCAAGATTTTCAACCATCTCAGTGGTCCATTGTAAAATTTTCATATCTATTTAAAATCAAAACCAGAGAGAATTTAGGTTAACATACTTTTATTGTTGTTTTTTGAGACAGAGTCTCACTCAGTCACCAGGCTGGAGTGCAGTGGCTTGATCTTCACTCACTGCAACCTCTGAATCCTTGGTTCAAGTGATTCTCCTGCTTCAGCCTCCTGAGTAGCTAGAATTACGGGCACGCACCACCACCCTCAGCTAATTTTTGTATTTTTAGTAGAAACGGGGTTTCACCATGCTTGCCAGAATGGTCTCTATCTCCTGACCTCGTGATCTGCCCGCCTCAGCCTCCCAAAGTGCTGGGATTACAGGTGTGAGCCACAGAGCCTGGCCTAAGGTACTGTTTATTTAAAATTCTAAGGATCTTTAAATAATTTTCCATGGGTCATATTTTTATTACAGTTTAAAATCATTTATAATTTGCTTTCACACATGCTCTCCCTCATTTGATCCTCACAACTGCCCTGGGAAGCAAGTTGGAGACAGAGTAGGGGACTGTTAGGAGACAGATTTACACAATGCATAAGAAAGCTCACTGTGAGCCAGGTGAGGAAGGGAGCCTTGGAGAATCATGAATGCAGTATCTATGTCTATATTCCCAGCCCAACTACAAAGCCTGAAATTCATTAGGTATTTAAGAAATAGCTGCTGAATTATTGCCTAGGGGTGCTCAGTTGAAGAAGCACAATTGGGACTAACAGTCAAGCTTCCTGACTTCTAGCCCAATACTTTTACAAACACACCACCTATTTTTCTATATATGATAGAAAGTATAGTGCTTAAGTTGTACATAATGTTAACTCACTTTCAATACAGGTCAATCATGATTAACTGTCAGTAGCTTTTGTGACAAACTTAGTAAACTAGAAAGTTGAACCTTTCAGTGTTCCCATTCTCATGTCATATGTTATTTCTGTTTTGAAATAAAAATCCTTCCAAATGAAATTTTATCCATCAAAATGACAGAGAAGTGAAAATAGATACAAGAAGAAAGCAAAACATTAATTTCAACATCGATTTGTCTATTTTGTTTTAAAAGTATAACCACCAAGCCATTCTATTTTTAGGAAGATACATTCTTTTTGAAGTGTTAGAAACCATGATGACTCTTCTTAACTTTATGTCCTAAATGACCAGTATGTGTATTAGCAGATAACTGGACACACTCAGAAGGGTGACTGAGTGTGGCAGAAAGAGCAGTATGTCCAGCAACTGCAGATGAATAAGTGACAATGAGTCCAGATAATGGATTCTGATACAACCATTCAAATATTGCTTATGAGTACTTGATAACACAGGGAAAAGCTTAAGATACAGTATTTTAGAGAGAAAAAAAGGAAAGATGGAAAAAAAATAGATGGAAAGCATGACTTCAGTCATGCATAAAAATGCTTCCACTTTATCCTTTTTGTTAGTTTGTTTGTTTGCTTTTGAGACAGGGTCTCACTCTTTCTCCCAGGATGGAGTGCAGTGGCATCATGATCTCAGCTCATTGCAGCCTCTACTTCCTGGGCTCAAGCAATACTCCCATCCCAGCCTCCTAAGTACCTGGGACTACAGGTATGTGCCACCATGCCCAGCTAACTTTTTGTATTATTAGTAGAGATGGGGTTTTGCCATGTTACTCAGTCTGGTCTCAAACTCCTGAACTCAAGTGATCTGCCTGCTTCGGCCTCCTAAAGTGCTGGGATTATAGACATGAGCCACCACCTCTACTTTATACTTTCTTGTTGAAATAGACTCTATTACTGATGCCCCACCCCAGTTTTTTGGATATCTGGCCCCTCCTCGAGTCTCTGGAAAGGGCAGCACTACACATCCAGGGACAACTAGGGAACTCCCACCCCCACTGCTAGGCCAGATCAGATTCTTCTCCTGCTCATTGGAAATGCACAGAGAGTGTTCAATAGATTTTTTTGAGGAGCATCTGTATGGAAAGGTCAGTAACATGGGACCAGGGGTACTTCCAGGGCAAGCCAAAGCCTCAGAGGCTGGAGGAGCCTGGAGCACGTGCTGAATGTTCATCTGCAGAGCAGAGCACAAGCATGGAGCAGAAGTCCAGAGTGAAGGCATGCAGGAGAGGAAAATCACCTCCCAGCCCAGGCAGGCCTTCCATGGTGTGGTCCTATTTTGAGTTTTGTACTTAGATGTCTATGAGGTTGCCTGTTGTATTCTTAATACAAATCCCCCTTAAGCCAGCCTAGAATAGGTTAAGATAAATGTAATGACTTGACTTGGCTGGAGTGCAGTGGTGTGATTACAGCTCACTGTAGCCTCAACTTCCTGGGCTCAGGTGATTCACTTCTGCCTCCCGAGTAGCTGGGACTACAGGCATGAGCCAACTTGCCAAGCTAATTTTTTGTATTTTTCTCATAAAAATATTTTTCAGAAGAAATCTTACATATAATACATTAAATATCACTGATTGCTTTTTCTTCGTCTTTTTTTCTGTGAATGTGTAGGTGTTTGAGTCTCTTGTATTTCTTCTTTTACACAGGATATGGGCTGTTTGGACCCTATTTCATTATTTTCATCATCATCATTCATTTCAGCCACTTCAGACTTTTGTCTCTTTAAAAATGTTGATGTACAAACCAATGCAGGGCCGTAGATGTCCACTGTCTTCTCAGGAGTGTCAGAAGTGCCTAAAACCTTTTTCTTCTTCTTACATAAAACCTGGGCTTTTGTAGACATCTGACAATTCATTTTTGAAATACTTTCCATTTTTTTGTAAAATCAAAGAAGGAAAATCATAATCAATTCATTTTTAAGCTCGTTTCTTCCTCAGTAATCCTTCTTTCTTTTTAAATCGCTCCTCCTTCTGTAGCTTTTGTGTAAGTGCTGATTCTGATTATACATTTCACTGATGGATATGATGGCTGCTTAAATGGAATATTCCAGTGTTGAAAGAGTTCTTTCAGTACTTTTTCAGGTGGCATAAAATGACTCTCCAAGAGTCTTTCACCAAACAGGTAGTTGTTCATTGTTTCAGCAACTATCTTGGCAAAATCCTCAGACTTAAACTCCGCAAATGCATAGCCCTTGCTATTTCCAGGCCTTTTATTTCTAAATAGTCTGAACCTTGTAACAGTGCCTTGGAACTGGGAGAAATAGGAAAGGATCTGGGTTTCCTTCAGTAGGTTAGGTAGGTGGGACACATAGACTACTCCAGAAGAAAGTTGCTCTTGTTTTTGTGTTTTCTTTTGTTTATTTTTGAGATGGAGTTTCACTCCTGTTGCCCAGGCTGGAGTGCAATGGCATGATCTCGACTCACCGCAACCTCTACCTCCTGGATTCAAGTGATTCTCCTGCCTCAGCCTCCTAAGTAGCTGAGATTACAGGCATGCACCACCACACCTGGCTAATTTTTGTATTTTTTGTAGACACAAGGTTTCTCCCTGTTGGTCAGGCTGGTGTAGAACTCCTGGACCCAAGCGATCTGCCTGCCTTGGACTCCCAAAGTGCTGCAATTAGAGGCATGAGCCACTGCACCCAGCCCAGCCTTGACTTTGAAATATATGTTGTACATCCAGTCAGCAGTGAACTCTGGGGGAACACCAAAGATGATGAAAATGAGAGAAGAGATACCTCCAATTAAAGGAGTTAAAACGAGATACTTGAACTTATGTGTTAAAAAGTCACAGCAGGTTGGGCACAGTGGCTCATGCCTGTAGACACAGCACTTTGGGAGGCTGAAGTGGGTGAACTGCTTGAGCCTAGAAGTTTGAGACCACCCTGGGCAACATGGCAAAATCCCATCTGTACACGAAATAAAATAAATTAGCCGAACGCGGTGGCGCCTGTGGTCCCAGCTACTTGGGAGGCTAAGGTGGGAGGTGGAGGCTGCAGTGAGCTGAGATCCACCACTCCACTGCAGCCTGCATGACAGAGTGACACCCTGTCTTAAAAAAAAAAATCACTGTTTTGTGGTTTTCTGGGTGAAACCTTTGTTTCCATAAAAAAGGGGGGTTGAGACAGTATGTATTACTAATTCAAAATCATAACGAGATGCTTAAAGTAAATAATTGTATTGATTTCTTCAAAAACCAACCTCAGGATTATTGAACATTAGTTTTATTGGATTTTTCTTTAAGCTGGACTGATTCACTCAGGTCTGTCACTTCCAAGCCCATGTTTTCCTACTTTGTAACCCTATTTGGAAGGAACACTGCAACTAAGATTATGATCCATCCTGAGATGAAAAGTTTCACACATATGCACCACACATACCCCCCACCACAGTATGATGACACAGTGACCCAACCTTAGGCTAATGGTACCACTGCCAGCAAATGCATTGTTTTCTTTATTCTAATTTTTTTTCCTTCATTTCTTATAAAGCAGCAAATGCATTTAACCATTTATTGAGATTCTCAACAGCTGCCATTTGGTTTGTAGAGCAAATTGTTTACAAAGTAACTTTCTTCCATTTTCGCTATTTTGATGAAAATTATGTTCTTCAGTTTTAAAGCCCCGTCCCTCTCCCAAAGAAAGATTAATAACTAACTACCAAGTAATGATTATTTAGGAAAAGAACAAAAGCAAAAACAGCTTTTAAACACTTCTGGAACATAGGTAAGCTTCCAAAGTCAAGACCTTCTGGGTCCAATAGAGGTGCTAGGCTGCCTCAGGACATCATCAGCACTTCCCCATCCACAACATCCTCAACCGCTGGGAGCCAACTGGGAGCCAACACCCTGTCAGTGGAGACAGGGTACTCTAGAAAGCTGAGAGATTCCCTGGTCCAGTCTGGGGGAGGAAAAAATATGCAGTGCGGCATAGATGGTTTCGCTTGTCCACTCAGACACATGCTTATACTTATTAGATGGATGTATCAGATGCTTCAAAAGTCCTGATGTGTAGTAGCACAAAAGTTGCTTGTAGAAAAAGTTGGAAAATGATGAAAATTTCTGCAGCAGTTCAGGCTCCTGAGGACAAAGCTGGTTCTGCTAAGTAGTTATTTTGACATGCACAGCAGCTTTCCCTAGAAGTCCTGTGTTCCGAGGGTTTCTTTTAGACCACAGGAAGTTGAAATTAAAGTTTAAAAGATTCTCTGCTGACAAAATGTACTATATCCTTCGGTGGACTTCTACTCAGTAATGAAAGGAACAAACTACCAAAACCTGTCATATGTCATGGACCAATCTCAAAAACATTAGCTAAGTAAAAAAGCCAAACATGAGAACATATATTGTATAATTCCACTGATTTGAAATGTCCAAAAAGGCAAGTTGATGGAGACCGAAATGGTCTGATTTACCTCAAGAGGTAGGGATTCAAGCTCTCTAGAGTACATGTGATACATACATGAGAAAAAATAAGGAAAGAAATTTAAATGTAAATAAATGAAAATAATAATTCTCCCTGATTATAAAGAAAATCACATTATTTTTGTAATAATTTGGAAAACAAAATATAAAGAAAAGCCTTTACTTTTGCCACTCAAAACATTCTGGTTTGTTACTTTTTATACTTCTTTATGCATTTGAACATTTTAAAAAGTAGAATCATAATATATAGTCTTTTGTCACTATGTTTTGGGCATATTTCTATGGCAGCAAATATATCCTTGGCATCATCCTTTTAAAAAGCTTGAAGTATATTAAGTTAATCATTACCACCCCAGAAGTAAATTTTGTTATATATATATTTTAATGGACACAAGCAAGCATTTTTGGGCTGAATTCATAGAAGTAGAATTTCTGGAGGAAAATAACATAAAACACTTTTAAGATTTTTCATAGAAATTTTCAAATTATCCTGCAGAAAAATTGGTTCAGAGTTTATACTCCCAAAGTGGCAGAGTTCCAGTGTCCCCCTTCCATTTGTCCACTTTACTGGTATTTAAGGAGAAAATCTTACTGTTTTCATTACATTTCTTTGGTTTCTAGTGCTTTTGAATTTTTTTTTTTTTTTTTTTTTTTTTTTTTTTTTTTCGGAGTCTTGCTCTATCACTCAGGCTGGAGTGGAACAGTGCCATCTTGTCTCACTGCAACCTCCGTCTTCTGGGTTCAAGCAATTCTGCTGCCTTAGCTTCCCAAGGAGCTGGGAGTACAGGTGCCCGCCACGATGCCCTGGCTAATTTTTGTATTTTTTAGTAGAGATGAGGTTTACCACCATGTTGGTCAGGCCGGTCTTGAACTCCTGACCTCAGGTGTTCCACCCACCTTGGCCTCCTAAAGTGCTAGGATTGAGAGGCGTGAGCCATAGCACCAGCCTTTAAATCTTTTTAATATGCTTTTTGGCCATTTTTATTCTTGTGGGAAGTGCCTGTTTCTCCATTGCCTATTTTCTGGCCAACCTCCAAAGTCACATTTCACTTAAATTTTATCCTGCTAGTTGAAAGCATTTTAACATAAACAGGAGCAGGACAGACTATGATTATCTAGATCTTACTCTGTCACCCAGACTGGAGTGCAGTGGCATGATCATAGCTACCACAGCCTTGTACTGCTGAGCTGAAGTGATTTTCCTACCTCAGCCTCCCAAGTAGCTAGGACTACAGGTGTGTGCCACCCTGCCCAGCTAACTTTTAGAAATTTTTGTAGAGATGTGAATTCACTGTGCTGCCCAGGCTGGTCTTGAACTCCTGACATAATGTGATCCTCCCACCTTGGTTTGCCAACGTGCTGGGATTACAGGCGTGAACTACTGCTCCTAGCCAAGAGCTCATTTTGTTTGCTGGCGGAGTTCTTGGTATCTTCTTATGTTTGAGGCTTTGGTGCTAGTGCTGAAGTATTACACTCACCATCTGAGGTTTACAGGACTTTTGTTTTAATATTGAAGAGATGGAACTGTGTAGTTCTGTATCTTTGCAGGCATACAAAATGTGCCTACCAGGATTTTGCTTTATATCCATTGAAATCAAGAAGTAATACAATGAAACTTCGCCTGGCTTAGAGGCTTTGAAAGAATAGAGTATTTTGATTTAATTCTATTAACTTGGAAGTGTGAAGGTGAAAAGAATTCAAAACTTACATTTCTGGTTGAATGCAATTTGAAAATACAGCCAATCATTCCCCTTTTCTTCTGTAGTAAGTTTGGTCATTCTAATCTACGTGGTGTTTTATTGTAGAACTGCTAGTGTGCCTGAGACTTGCATTGTGAAGACACTTTTTTAAAAACTTGAGAGGTAAGAGAGTATAAATGGTATTGTATGAGATCAGGCTGGATGAGAACTGACACTTGTAAATATACTTTTTAGACTGAATCTCTAATTGCCATTTGTTTTCTTATTTAACTCATAAAAATAAAACACATTGGATGGAGGGTGGGAGTAGGAAGGAGACTTATGTGTTTTAATTGCATGTCATGGTTTCATATCAAGACAGAACATATGGTATCCCTGGTTTTGGACCTACAGAAGGAAACACATTTTTCTACCTGCTGTATGCCAGAGGTTCTTGAACATCTGGAGGGATTACTGCAGCAAAGATTGCTGAGTCCTACTCCAGAGTTTCTGATTCACCAGGTCCAGGGTGGGGCCTGAGAATTTGCACTTATAAAAAGTTCTCAGGTTCTGCTGGTGCTGATAGTCCAGAGACTACATTTTTGAGAACCACTCTTGTCTACTAACTGTAAATTGTAGAACTCTAAAAAAAGCTTTGTTTGGTGTGGGAAAAGAAGCTCACAGGTTATGGAGCAAATCATGAGAGATTCAACCCTTGATCTCAGTCTAGTGTGGAACTCAGGTAACAAGCAATATACAGTGATATAGCACAATTCTTGGTTTTCATGGTTGTAAGTCATAGCCAAGTATCAAGGGAGAAATTCAGTTTCATTTGCAAGTTTTAGAGAGGTCAGGTGATTCTAGATAAATGGGCTTTGTATATGCTTTAAACCAGTAAAGAGCTTTGAGTGCTTATTAAATTGAAAGCTTTGTGTTTTTATTTATTTTTTATTATTTTATTTCTTTTAAGATGGAGTCTCACTTTGTCACCCAGCCTGGAGTGCAGTGGCATGACCTTGGCTCACTGCAGCTTCTGCCTCCCTGGTTCAAGTGATCTACTGCCTCAGCCTCCCGAGTAGCTGAGATTACAGGTACCCACCACCACACCTGGCTAGCTTTTGTATTTTTAGCAGAGACGGGGTTTCATCATGTTGGCCAGGCTGGTCTTGAACTCCTGACCTAAGGTGATCCACCCGTCTAGGCCTCCCAGAGTGCTGGGATTACAGGTGTGAGCCACCGCACCCAGCCCAAATGCTTTGTGTTTTTAAAGATATTGAACATGTTTCTTGTTCTTTAAAAAATCCTAATAATGTAGGAGAATAAGAGAAATGTCTTTCATAAAAGAGAAATCATTGTGTTTACCTTATTGGAATGTTGGATAATATAGTCCATTAATCATCAAACATGCTATAGATTTTCCATTTTTATAGGATTTGTGTCTCAATTGAGGTAATACTGGTAATTCTTGTATTCCACCTGAAGATGAAAAATGTAGGCCAAATCATAGACCATGCATAGAAGCTGGATAACGAAGACAGCTCTGGAGGAACATGTAGACACACACACACTGACACACATATATTTAAATTATAAACACATATATTTTTTAAAGTTTATTTTTAACGTTTTAAAGCAAAAGCCAGTTCCTCCCCTCTCCCAGAGTAGGCAGGCCCCGCCCCCTCCCCAAGTGGGCGGGGACAGCAGTTGCGTGGGCAGCTTTCCTTGTGATGCCACAGGTTCCTCTGGACACACTGCTCCCTGGCCACGCCTCCTTTCCCTTTCGTCCTTTCTCAATTTGACGCAATGGGCATGCGAGCATTAAGGCCACCCCCCATTCTGCATTCTATGGGGCCCTGGTTACGCCTCCTCTGGCTCAGTCACACAGGCCTGGTAGGTGACTGGAGGTGTTCGCTGATGTGGCCCCAACCCTGCCTCCCTCCCCACCCCATGATGTTAGAAGAGACTCGACAGAGTCAATTGGCAGCAGCCAAGAAAAAGGTAAGACACAACAGGTCATGGCCCCCCAACCTAGCCAGAGATACCCTCCAATGACAAGACCACTGCCAGAGTACATACCACTCCTGAGGCACACTGGGCTGGGCCCCCTAACCCTGGCACCTCTGGGCTCCCCCCACCAAAGTCTTGTCAGTCAGCCACGCCCCCCTCAGCAAGCAGCCCAGCCTCTGCCCTCGCCAGTCACCCCGTGGTGACTTTTGGTGGATGACTCGTGGGGCTCCCTGCTCCATACTCGGCCATCACGTCCTGCTGCCCCAAGCCCAACCTCCCTGGGTTCTTTGGGCTCACCTGTCTGAAGACCTGGGTACCCCAGCCCCAGCCTGCCACCATCACCAGTCATCCCTGGGTGACTTTGGGCTGGTGACTCCTGGGGCTCTCTGCTGCAGACTCTACTCTCCCCCTCCTACTCACCCAAGCCTGACTTCCCTGGGCTCTTTTGACTGGCATCTCCAAAGACCTGGGTCCCAGCCCTACATCCCCTCCCCCATCATGGATCAACAACTCAGTCATTGCACTGATATGGTTCCCCCCACCCCCAGGATGAGTAGAATGAAGTGATGTCACAGTCCCCCTAGGGACTGTCATTACTGCTGCAAGACTGGACTTTCATCTTACAACCCAGTCCCCTAAGCATTCTCACCCTATTTCTGGTTCCTCTGGCTGCAGCACAAATTTCCAGCTGGAAGGGGAATGGGGACTATGGGACTTAGGAGCAACAGATTTCAGGCTGCCTTACTCCTTTCGCATAGACATTGACTTTGTGAAAAGCCTACACTTCCCCCTGTGAGATCAAACGTTGACAGTATCTCTGGGTGGCAATGGGAGAATGGGTTTGCTTTCATTTTTTCCTAGGCTTCTACTCTCCAGAGAGACTTTAACATGTTTTTCTGAGTTCTCCACCTCATATTCTAATTCTCCACAGCTCTGGGACCAGACTGCCCTTCAGTCAGTGGTCTCTGAAGTGAGATTTGCTCATCTTCTGTGGAATAGATCTTAGGAAACTGAACTTGACCACTTGAATCTTCCTCATATCATCTCAACCTGGGGTACTTTGAGTGCCACAGGATAAATGTGGGAGATCTTTCTGAAGCATCAGTTTCCCTTGATTCTCTTGAGAGAGAAAAAACGTTAATGTACTTAGGGATGACAGTCACATACGTTTCTAAGAGTATACCGGACTTCTCTCTGTAATGAGACTTGGGTTGTCCTCTTTCTGATCAATTCCCAGATTTAACAAAAAAGCTGCCTTCTGCCATGAGGACACATGGATATAAAAGTTTGAAGGGTTCTGGTTCACTTCTTCACACTAACAGACATGTGAGGATGTATGACTCCAAACCACACAGCGTGCAGTTCCTGCCTACTTAATGTTTAGTTTTCTAGCTTTGCCTCTGATTTTGGTCTCTGGCAGCTGCTGATTAATGGGAAAACCCCAGAGCTTGGAGTCAGAAGACTGAGTTTAAGTCCCATTATTGCCCACCCTCACTTTTTTTTACCCATAATATCCATCCCTCTCAATCAGTAAGTGATTGTGAAAACACCTTGTACAGTTGTTGGTGGCATTAAATCAGATGGTGTATAAGAGTATTTTGAAAAACTGTAAAGGGTGTTGTGGCTGTAGGGGCTGGTAGTTCTAATGAGTATTACTGCTGTTCTTTCCCACAGCTAAAAGAATATCAGCAGAGGAACAGCCGTGGTGTTCCAGCAGGAGCGAAGACAAAAAAGAAAAAAACTGGCAGTAACCCTGAGACAACCACTTCTGGTGGTTGCCACTCACCTGGGGATGTGAGTCTTGGCTGGCCAGGCTCCTGGGGACAGGGGGCCCAAGGGGGCAGTAGAGGGTAATTGTTAAGATTGCTGGGTACTGGCTAAGAATTCTGGGTTTGAATCCTGCCTCTCCATCTGCTAAGGATCTGATTTATGGCAAGTTGCTTGAGCTCTTTGGACCTCTCTTTTCACATCTGTAAAATAGGGGTAGTGTTGTTTGATTTTCATTTCTGAAGTTTAAATGATATTCCATATTGTTGTTGTTTTTATGTTAATCCCTGGTACATGTCCTGCTGTGAACACCCAGGATACCCAGGAAATGGTCATTGCTCTTTGATTTTCCTGATCCCTAGTCTCAAGGGGAAGCTGGGCCAATGAGTACAGCCACTTGCCATCAAGCTGTCCCTTTAGGAGTCACAGAAGGGGTCTCAGGGTGTGATAAGGAGAGCCCCAGGCACTAGGAGTAAGAGAAAATCTAACTTGCCACCAGCTTGCTGGGTGACCACAGAAAAATCACTTCTTCCCCAGGGCCTCAGTTTCCTCCTCTGTAAGATGATACTGGATAAGATCAGTGCCTTTCAAACTTGTTTTTTAGCTGGAGCCCCCTTAGTTCAAATGAACCCTGACTCAGGAGTCTGGTGTTTTTAATGGAGGTGGAGGTCTGGAGCTCTACCAGATTCATCGTCCACATCCTGGGCCTGAGGAGAGGGGTCCAGTGAGCGTATTAAGAGCTGCATTGGTCAGATTTCTCCACTCTGTGACTGCATCACTCAGGGAACTTTTCCATCTATTTGTTCCTGTCCCTGGCAAGGCAGCAGTTGGCCATTTGGAAGAATGGCACAGGCCATGGTTTAATCTCCTCTGCTCTTCCTCAGCGTTTCATTTTCCTGAACCCACATCTTCCTTCTACACTGACTTTATTGCTTCTCTCTAAGCCACTTCTGTCTTTCTCCCCCTGCCTGTGTTTTTCCTTTGTCACCTCCTGTAGATTCAGGACATTCTGAAGGAGCTGGTGTCCAACCTTAACCATTCCAGTGGGTAGCACTCCCCTATTGCACAAGTGGAAGGTGAGACGGGGCTGCGACCCCTCTCTGGCTTGCTCTCTCCAGGTGTGCATGCCCCTCATGCTCCTGAAGCTTCTCTGGTTTGGGGGATACTTGGCCTCTGCCTTGTTTTATGTTGCTACCATTAACCTTCATCCTGTTTATGTCTGCTTCTTCACCTGCTTGATTGATTGGGTTTTTTCCTTCTCCGCATCTTTATCATCTTAGAAGTGGTGAGATCTTAAAGTTTAAAAGTAACTTGGGAATAACATACACAACAGGCATGTGGGATTTGGGGCCCTTTTTTTTTTTTTTTTTTGAGACAGAGTCTCACTCTCTCACCCAGACTGGAGTGCAGTGGTGCGATCTCAGCTCACTACAACCTCTGCCTCCCAGGTTCAAGTGATTCTCTTACCTTAGCCTTCTTAGTAGCTGGGATTACAGGCACCTGCTACCACGCCCAGCTAATCTTTGTATTTTTAGTAGAGATGGGGTTTCACCATGTCAGCCAGGCTGGTCTTGAACTCCTGATGTCAAGTGATCCACCCGCCTCAGCCTCCCAAAGTGCTGGGACTACATGCATGAGCCACTGTGTTCGCCCCCTTTACTGTTTTTATACTTTCTCTATATCCACAACTGCTTCCCATGTAAGTTATTTTTTTAAAAAATCTCATTTTTATTACTCCTGTATCATCTGTTACTCTGAAGGATCTGGAAGTAAGAGGCCCTGGGCCAAGGTGCAGTGACCCTGCAGGCCAGCCCTCCAACCTCCTCTCACAGTGGGGGCTGGGTGCCCCTCTGCCAGCTGAGACAGCCCACACACACCCCAGCCCTAATGATTGTTCTCTCTACCTCTTCCCATAATCCTCCTCCAACTCCTGCTCTCTGCGTGTGCCTCAGAGCCAGAACCAAGAACAAGCAGTAGCCCTGGACTCAAGCTCCGCAACAATCAATCAACTCTGTGAAAACATAGAATCATTGGTAAGAGTTCAGTGGGGTCCTGTGATTCCACGCTGCCAATCCTGGGCTTTACTTTCCCCTTGGGGCTCCGAAGAAAGGGGTTGGGGGCCCCTGATGCCAATGGCAAATGGGGCGCTGGAGCACCCAGGCCTCACCTGGAGGGACCCCAGAGCAAGGAGCATGCAGCATGGCTCTTCTGTCACTGCCCTCTTTGCCGACTCTCTCTTCTCCAGACACCCCTGCTCCAGTCCTTGCCACACACGCCCTGGGGTTGTCACTTCTCAGGGAAGCGCTAACCTGATGGTTTGTCAGGGGTCCCATATTTCTGCCATGACTCAGTTCCTAATTTGCTCTTTGAGTCTGGACAAGCTACCTCTCCTCTTTGGGCTAGTGTTTCCGAAGGAGGTAGAGCAGTGAAGGTCTCGGTTAGCTCTGAGAGTCTGAGATTTAAAGGCTCCTAGAATGGAAACCTGAGGGCCAAGGGCTCCTGTCTGTCCTTTTCCATTTTATATCTGCTGTGAAGAACTGTACCTGGCTCGTATGTGCTCAGTAAATGTTTGTTGAATGAATGCACCTTTCTCAATCACAAGCTGGCAGAAGGGTGGACCTTTCTCAGACTCCGTCCCTAGAGGTTTATGTTACTGTCCTTTGGAGAGAATCCAGATTCAGACTTTGAGTTCCGTGGCTGTGGGCAAAAACCAACAAAGACCCAAATCCTCTGTCGTTGCGAGCTTGAGGAGAGTTGACCAGTTCTTGTTGCCATTGGGTCTGAGAATTTTGTCTTTAAAATTCGTTCCTGGCCCCTGCTTACCACTTCCTGATCTGGGGAATAGAGTTGAGGAGGTCACCCTCAGTCACCTGAATTTGACTGTCCCCACAGAAACAACAGAAGAAACAAGTGGAACATCAGCTGGAAGAAGTAACGTGATTTCTTTGTTTGCTCACAACATGACTGCTGGGTTTGGGGGGCACTCAGATGTAGAGGCACCAACTCATCTCGCCCACTCCCAGCCTGGGGAAGAAGGCTTATCCCTCAGATTCCACCACATCCCCACAGGGTCCCTGATAATCTGGTCCCATGGGTGGGCCTGTGCTGGGGCATTGGTGGCATTCTGGGGGCATGTCTCTTGCTGTCCGTGGTAAGAGCTCTGTCTTCCTCTTCCTATAGGAAAAGAAAGCAAACAATGACATACACAAAGCACAGACGGAGCAGTTAGAGGTGAGTGGAGGGTGGGGAGTTTTCTCCTGTCCTCCGGAGAATGTTTCTTTCCGTCTCTTTCAGCACTTGCTTGGCTTTTCTCCCAAACATTCCATTTCAGACAATCAACATCCTCACGCTGGAAAAGGCAGACTTGAAGACCACCCTTTACCATACTAAACGTGCCGCCAGACACTTCGAAGGTGGGAATCTGGGCACCCCATCATCCTTCAACCTGGCACTTTGACAGGTCTTTAGGGGGAGTCCTTTGGGCCCCATCTCCACCTCTGTCATTACAGAAGAGTCCAAGGATCTGGCCGGCCGCCTGCAATCCTCCTTACAGCGTATTCAAGAATTGGAGCGGGCTCTCTCTGCTTTGTCTACACAGCAGCAGGAAGAGGACAGGGTGAGTCCAACCAGCTGCCCCGTCCCCTGGCAGCCTGGCTTCCCAGATGGAGGAGAGAGTGTGAAGGTCGCTTCTGGAGGATGCAGTGTCCTGCCCAGAAGGCAGCATGCTCATTTCTAGCTGCTATTGTGTGTGGTTGTTAGAGACAGCCTGGGGCTGAGTCAGCTGCTGTGGGTGAGTTGAGGGGCACTGTGGGGAGTGAGCACTGCACACACAGCTTGAAGGCCAAGTGCCTACCCTGCCCTTACCTGGCTGTGTCCTTGGCCAAAGCCTAGGTGGTGTATTGGGTACTTGTACTGTGAAGGTACAGAACAGTACATTTAGTACTTCACAATTTCTGTAGAGAAAGGAAAGGCGTGTGTGTGTGTATGTGTTTGTGTGTGTGCTATGATAATATACATAAAACATGTCTGCAAGTGTTCATAAAAAACTCAGGAGAGAGTAACAGGGTGGCTGGAAGACACTTCTCTTCTGTGCCTTCTGAGTTGTGGACTATGCGAATCTGTCATCCTTTCAAAATGGGAACAAAAGAATAATTTCCCCCTTCCTATCTGTGCCCCCACCCCCAGCAAGGAAAATGGGCTTAGAGAATCGGATAGACCTGGGTATTCAAATCCCAGCTCTGTCTCAGTGATCTTAGACAAGCACTTAACCTCGAACACTCCATGTTTTTCATCTACACAATAGAGGTAATCCTAGTAACTGTCTCATATGGTGGTTGTGAGGATTACATGGGATTGCTAGTATGGAACCTGGTGAAGCACTCCATAAAGGTTCAAACAGTGGTATTAATAACAGTAATAACAATAGCAATGTTATCTGATCTCTCTGGGCCTCTGCTAGCTAGCTATAAGTTCGATCTCTTTCCCTGTCCCTTCCAACTTTACTGAGTTCTTTTAAAAACCAGGCCATGGGCTTTGAAATGCCTTGATATTTACTCACAGAGTTGTACATTGAGCCTAACCCTAGCCTTTTTAAGGGGCACTGCCTGGGCTCCCCACATCAAAACTTCTCACTCTTCACCATCCAGTCCTCGAGCCGCAGTGAAGCAGTCCTCCAGCGGCAGTTACAGCAGACCAGAAAGGAGCGGGCGCTGCTGAATGCACATGTGACACAAGTGAGGCTTTGCAGAGGGAGGGATGTGGAGGCAAGATGATCCCAGCTGACCAGGAGCAGGTGAGGACCAGTGACAGCCCTTCCTCACTTCTGTGGCCATTCTTGCAGGTGACAGAGTCACTTAAACAAGTCCAGCTACAAAGGGATGAATACGCTCAACATATAAAAGGAGAGAGGGCCCAGAGGCAGGAGGGGATGCGGAAAATGTCGATGGAGGTGAGACCTGACCCTTCAGTCCCATGTTAGATGGGTCACTGGATCTTTCTGGGCATCTGTAAAATGGGACTAGTACAGCCAGAGGTGGTCATGGGTCTGGGCTTTGTGGAGGTGGGGGCCGAGAGGGAGATGGTAGCTTGTCCAGCCACCAGCCCCTCTCTCCAGGGCCCTTTCCTCCTGTGCTTTGGGCAGGCTCATGCATTGAAGGAGGAGAAGAAACGTGACATACATCGGATACAGGAGCTGGAGAGGAGCTTATCCGAACTCAAACACCAGATGGGTAAGATGGGACTAGTGTGACCTGGGAGCAGGACTGGCATCAGAGGGCTGTGGGGTGGCTTAGAATGCCCCAGGGAGGTGGGTGAATGGAAGGGCATTGAGGCAGCGGGAAAGTGGTCTGTGTCAGCAGCCAGCAAGCCTTGTCATCTCCATGAGCCTTTAGGGTCCCCGTCAGCCAAGAGGAAGGAGTGCCCATTGTCAGCCACCCACAGTGCTCTCTATCTGACATGGCTTGGAAATTGGCTACCATCGGGTGCCAGGAATCATTAGCAGGGAGGCCAGGTTTGGGAAGCCTGAGAGGAGCTGCATCAAAAGGAGGACTTTTTCTTTGAGTGGGGGTGGTGGGTGGGGAATCCAGAGGCCCTTATTGTCTGCTTCATTTCTCAGCTGAGCCTCCATCCTCAGCACCCCCAGCAGGGACATCTGAGGTGGAACAGCTACAAGATGAAGCCAAACACCTGAGGAAGGAGGTGGAAAGTCTGGAGGGAAAGCTCCAATCCCAGGTGGAAAACAATCAAGCCTTGACTCTCCTGAGCAAGGAGCAAAAGGAGAGAATCCAGGAGCAGGAGGAGAGGAGGCTGCGGGAGGAGGAGAGACTATGTGAGCAAAAGGAGAGGCTTCGGGAGAAGCAGAAGAGGCTGGGAGCGCAGGGTGAGAGGCTGCGAAAGGAGGAGGAGAGGCTGCGAAAGGAGGAGGAGAGGCTACAAAAGCAGGAGGAGAGGCTGTGGGAGAAGGAGGAGAGGCTGCGAAAACAGGAGAAGAGGCTGCGAATGCAGGAGGAGAGGCTCGCACTCTCCCAGAACCACAAGTTCAACAAGCAGCTGGCCGAGCCACAGTGCAGCTTGGAGGATCTGGTGGGTTGCCCCACCTGGGCAGCCTGCCCTCATCCCTAGCCCTCCAGGCCTTTGTTTCCCCACCTGTAAAATGGGGCAGTGTAGCCCTCACATGACATGGTACTTCTAAAGGCATCTGTGAGCCAGAGCTCATCAGGCCCTGCTCTGATGGCTGTGGGGAAGGGGATGATTTTTCCAACCTACTTCCACCCTTTCCGGTGACATGGGAGGCAGACACCAAGTTCTGGGGTCTCCAGCTGCAGTGGCTGGCCACTGATTGCTTCTCTCTGTCCAGAACAATGAGAACAAGAGCGTACTGCAGTTGAAGCAGCAAGTAAAGGAGCTGCAGGAGACACTGAGCAAGGTGAAGGAGATGGTAACCTCTGCCCCATCCAAGAAGGGCTGGGAGGTGGGCAGCAGCCTCTGGGGAGGGGAGGTGCCAGGCCAAAGGCAGCTCCAGCTGGGGGGCAGGTGATGGCAGCACCCTCCAGGGCAGCTTCATGACTGTTTCTTGCTTCCTGTCCTCTGACTTTTAGAGGTGGGTAGCCTTGGGCTCCTCCCAGGTCTGGATATCATCATGCCAGCTAGAGGCATGGATTCCCTAACCATAGGGGTGGAGACAGTGGTACAAGAGGCTCCTTACATCAGACACAGTGACTCATGCCTGTAATCCCAGCACTTTGGGAGGCTGAGGCAGGAGAATCACTTGAGGTCAAGAGTTTGAGACCAACCTGGCCAAAATTGTGAAACCTCACCTCTACTAAAATTACAACAACAACAAAAAATTAACCAGGCATGGTGGCACATGCTTGTAATGTCAGCTACTCAGGAGGCTGAGGCAGGAGAATTGCTTGAGCCTGGGAGGTGGAGGTTACAGTGAGCTGAGATTGCACCACTGCACTCCAGCCTGGGCCACATGGTGACACTGTCTCAAAACTAAAGAAAAAAGCCTCCTTAGATTCAAACTGGATCCCAGCCTTGGTTCCACTGGTCACCATTCAACTACTTTTCATCTCTAAGTCTCTGTTTCTTTGACTTCAAAAGGAAGTTAGCATTTTTCTTATGGTTGCTGGGGATTAAATGAGAGAACACATGGAAAGCATTAGGCATGGAGCACACTTAGCAGATGGTGATTGGCTCCCTCAGCTTTTCCACCAGTCTGTGGCCTACAGTTTAAATGGTGGGAAGAAGGACAGGAGATTTGAGGCTGGGGAAGGAGGCACGAGGTTCTAGGCAAAGTGGGAAGTCTCTTAGGCCTGGAACAAGGGGCCAGGGGCCTGGGCAGGTGACAGAGCCCCACCGTGCCCTCACTGCCCTATTAATGGGCCCAGAATCTGGAAGCCAACCACATGCCCTCATGCCCAGGGTCTTCCTGCAGATACAGCTGAAGAGCCAAGAGTCTCAGAGTCTGCAGCAGCAGCAGTGAGACTAGTACCTGGGTCACCTGCAGCAGTACGTGGTCACCTATTAGCAGCTGACCTCTGAGAAGGAGGCGCCGCACAGGCAGTTACTGCTGCAGACCCAGCTCGTGGACCAGCTGCAGCAGCAGAAGCTCAGGGCAAAGCAGTGGCTGAGATGGCCTGCCAAAAGTTGCAGGAGACCCAGGGGAGGGAGTTGCTGAGGACAGGGCCCCAAGGGGATGATCTGGCAACCTCTGTGCCTTCTCACTCTATTTTTCATCCCCTTAGGAGCACCTAGAAGCTGCCAGCCAGCAGAACCAACAGCTGGAGACGCAGCTGAGTCTCATGGCTCTCCCTGGCCAAGGTACAGGAGACCACTCAGAGAAAGAGGAGAGGGCCCCAGGAGGAAGGGGGGACTGTTAGCAGCATAGGATTGAGGGGTTGGAAGAGACCTTTAGAAGAGCTGGTTGTTATGCCAACCGGGTGTCTGCACTAAGCTCGGCATCAATATGATGACCTCCCGGGAGCAGGGGGCCACCGGGTTGCCTAAGGATGAGTGAACTGGCCCAGATCAGAAAGGGAGCAGGTCAGAACTCCCACAATGACAGGTATCAGGACTGTGCCTGGGCAATATAGAAGATCTTGGATCTTAATAGGAAAACTAAAGAACAGCAGCTCATTCCCCTCTGGGGAGGGGCTGGCTCAGGGTTACACAGTGAGGGTGGGGACAGAGGTGGGCCCACAGTACTTCCCTTGTTGGGTTTTCTGAGGACCCCTCTGGCCACCTCCCCACAGGAGATGGAGGAGGACATGCAGACAGTGAGGAGGAGAGGGTGCCTCAGCCTATGCCGAGTGTCCCAGAGGACATGGAGAGCCAGGAGGCCACGGTGAGTCTGACTTTCCCTGCCCCCACTTTGCCACCTTCCTCTGTGGCCCCTCCCAGACCCCCTTAGTCTCTTGCTTTCCCCACCTTCTGATTTCTCTGGACCTTCACCCCTTCCGGGAGCCAGTGGTCAGACACCACTTCACCTGTGACCAACAGGTGCACTCTCTGAGGCCCCAAGGGAAGGGGCTGTGCTCCACCTCCCTGCCCCATTTGTTCTGTGTATGCCCCTACGAGAATACTCACCTCTTGCCTTCAAGTGGCATTTTCAACTCCGCTGGAGCCAGTTTCTAGGAGGAGCAGGCACGGCTATGTGGGCAATGGAAGGTGCAAAGGCTGTGCTGCCTGCACCTGGCTCACCTGGTGGCCTCAGCCTGGAAGGAGCCAGAGGCAGTGGCCCCGGCCCCAGGGACTGGGGGTGAGTTTGTGTGTGGGGAGAGCTACCGTGGCCTGTAGGAGGCCATGGAGAAGGTGAAGGTGAGTGAGTCCTGGCATGGGCCAAGAAAAGTGGGGATGGGGCAGGACAGGTCACTCCCGTGATGTGACCCTATTATTTTGGCTCCAGAGCAGTTTTATGGACCTCCCGAGGGATAAGGTGGACGGGAAGCAGCAGGTGGAGAAACTAGAGCTTGGATTCATCCAGCTCTCTGGAGCGACAGAGGGCATGAGTAAGCAGGAGGCCAGGGCACGGGCACGGGGAGCTGCAGGGCCTTCAGAGGGGCCCCAGTGTCTGAGCCGTGTCCTCTCACAGGAGAGCACATCACGGTATATGAGAGCCAGTGGGCAGGTCCAAACACGCGGCACCAGGAGGAGGAAGCCAGCAGGCTGGCCCAGAACGAGGAGGAGATGAAGGTAGAGGGTGTGCAACATCTCTGCGGGGTTGGGGTGAGGGTGGGTGCTGGCGCCGGCTCAGGCGTGGCAACTGAGCACCCCTCCCTTCAGGTGAAGCTGCTGGAGCTGCAAGATATGGTGTTGCCGGTTGTGGGCGACCACGAGGGGCATGAGAAATTCCTCCCTGCTGCCCAGAACCCTCTTGATGAGCCCGCTCCAGGGGCCCCAGCCCCCCAGGAACTTGGGGCTGTGGAGGAGCAGGGTGGTGAGTAGAGCCCTCAGGCGGGGTGGGCAGGCTGGAGCAGGGGAGGCTCGCAGTGTACTCAGACCCCACCTCCCTCTCTCCGAAGATTTTCAGGACAGCGTGGAGCCTGCACCGGGACAGGCCAGGGAGGGTACTCCCTGTGACAATCCCACTGCACAGAAGATCCTGCAGCTGCTTCCTGTAGTGCAGGACACCCAGGAGCACCCAGGCTTGGCCACCAAACCCTGCGTGCCATTCTTTTACCGGGCAGCCAAGAACAGAGAGATAAACATCATCATCATCTGAGAGCTGGTCAAGAAGTTTTAAAAAAAAAAAAGAATCCCCTACACAATTCATCTACTTCATTGGAATGTTAGAGCCCCTCATGTTTATTTATGTTTCTAATTTACAGTTTAAATTTGTTTGTAGAAAGTTACCTTTAGCATTTTTGTTTTTAATTTGATAATTGTAGGTCATTAGCTCACATATCGAGTTTGCCCTTACATGGTGGGAGTCCAAACACACAAAGACCCACTCTTTGCACAAAAGTATTCTTACTGGTTTGGAATAGGCTGCCATGCTTTTTAAATGTTATTGCAGCAAGTATATTCATTACAGAATTCAGATAAAATTGGCTTATGTTCTGCTATTATGTTTGATCGAATCCTAATCACAGTGAGCTCTTCATTAGCTCAATATGTGGTTTGCCCTCAAGTGCGCAGTTTCTTACTTTGTAATATGCCACTGTGAGTACTGACATTTAGAGTTGTTTAAAGGCCAAGAAGTGGAAACAGCCTTTCCCCTATTTTCTGTGTATTGGGGATGGGAGTGATAACATTTTGGGGAGCTTTTTAAATCTCACAGAAGAGGAAAGTGGCCTGCTCTGGCAGGTGTGTGCAGGATAGAGTGTGTTTCATTTGTTCTGGTGCCAGGAATGAGCGCGGTACTAGGTAGTGTCCCCTGAGGACTTTTGTATGTCTCTTGGGCTCAATGAAGATACCGCACATGAACCTGCAGCGGTTTGGACCCTTCTCAATGACCTAAAAAACAGGAGACTTATTTCCTGAGGAATGAAAGGCTCCCATCATGACTGTGGATGTGGAAAACTTTTTCAAGCCTTAGAGCCTTTTATATCTACCAATACATTTTAAAGTCCAAGTTCATGTTTACCGTTTTCAATCAAATGGACTACATTCCCCAGTACACAAAAGCGGCCACTGGTTGGCATTCCTCGCTTAATGTAATCTGTAACGTAACAGATTCATACCAGAACACCCCTTCCATCAGAGTTTAAATGTCCCTGGAACAGGCATACAGGCTCTCGTCAAGAATGAATTCGAGTGAAGGAAAGCTGTGTGACACCTGGCATTCCTCTATGTTCACGGAGCTTCTTTGAGGCTAGAAGATTGATTTTACCACCTAGACCTCTGTGGCTAATACCTATTCTTCAGCCACATTGGTTAATCTGACATAGGAATTTACTTCTTTTCCTTGAATGGAAAACACTTTAAAAATAATAACAACCATTTTTATAAACTAATATATGTGACAGTACTTAGTTGAAACAAAAAGGAGTTTTAGTAGACAGTATTATACTGCATTTGAAAATCAAGGTGAAGTTTATGCAACTTAAAATATTTACAAACTGCAGTGCAATCTACTGTTTGTGAATGTCAAAGTATTATGAGTAAAAGTATCTATACAATCACAGAGTTATATTTCCTCACAAAGTTCTTTACGAAGGGTGAAATATGTTTTTATACCTCTCGGTTTCAGTTAGAGGCATATTTTGTGCCATATTTATGTTAATGTGCCTACACATGATGAATGAATTATTTCAGTCATACATTGTCTAAATCATAACTTCATGATGCTTGGGAAAGAATCAACAGTTAAAACTTCATGAAGTTCTAATGTCTATGTCCCCAAATACGTCACAGTATTAGGATATAGGGGGAGTTGTATGCGCACTTCCTGGGGAATGAAACTCTAGTTATTACTAGACCATCTCCATTTTTAGCATTTGGCATCCTCATGATACTTTTATAAATATGACATTAATAGGAGAGCAATAATATGATTTTACAGATGAAATAACAGATTTGCCTGCATTCACTGAAAGAGTGCAAATATTGGTCCTTCAACTGACTCTTCCAAATTGTATGAATTTACCAGTGTATTGGATAAACCCAGTTTCAGAATGATAAAGAAAAACTGTTAGACCAAATAACGTGGCTAATTAACAGTGGTACGATTTCTAACCTGAGGGTTTAAGAAGGACAGACAACCAGACCCTTCGCCACCTTGACCAGGGCTGAGTCCTTACATTCCTGGACGGTGATGTTTATTATTTAAGAGCCAGAGGCTGGTGGAGTTGGTTTGTTTGGAGGAGGCCTGATGGCCTCCCTACTCTCACCAAAGCAACTTTTTCCTCAGAGGGGCTCCCGTCTTCTTACTGGGAGAGGCAGCTGAGGCGGGACAGTGGGGCTAAGTGTAGAGCAGGCGAGGGCATGGGCTGCTGGGGTGGCCCCCCTTCCCCAGTGTACATATAGTATCTGTGTAACATTTTGTATATTCCAGGGGTTAGGGTCACCCCCTGTATTGTACCTCATGGAGGTTGGAGCTGGCATATGGGGAGGAGGTTCTAATCATTATTTATGGCTGGGAGACTTATTTATTGATAGCATAGGACAGAGGAAGGAGGTGGGGATGGGTTGTGGCTCCCTGGTGATATGACTCCTGTTTATTTTGCTTTTCATTATGGAATAAATGGATTTAGCCATACTGCTCAGCCTGGTGGGTTCCCGTTTCCCTCACTGGGTGCTGGAGTTTGTGCCACTGAACGAGGAGCCCCAGAGTGTCTAAGCATGTCCAGCTTGGCTGTTGGGAACCTTCCAGGCCTGTTACCTGTATGCTGATTGGTGACACCTGATGGATTTCACAGGGACTGCCATGGCACCTATCGGGCACAGTGAGGCCCTGACAGCCAACAGGCTCAGAAGCCTGATATAGTGGTGGCCAGGAAGGCAGATACCAGCATTCAAGGGCCCTGACTTCCATCCACCCCAGGCATCTTCCATTCTGTCCCCCCTGCCTCCCTCTCCTGTCTGCACCTGGTGGCCTGTTCTGTCTGCCCCTCAGTGCACCTCATGACCGGTTCTGTCTGCCCCTCCAGAGTGACAGGTGCCCCGCAGGCTCCTCCAGGCTGAGTTCATGGCCCTGCCCCTAGTGGCCACAGCCGGCTTCACAGGATAAGAGCCAGCTAAGCTCCAGGGGCTTTCCAGGAAGTGTCCCTCCGAAAGGGTGTGGCCTTTTCACCACTCCCAACAGCACCCTAGACATGGCTGGGCCTCTTCCCTCCCCTGAGCTCCACAGAGAACACAGCCAGTGGAGGACACATTCCCCGCCATCCAGAAATGGGTTTGATTCTCAGCTGAGGGACAGCAGGACTGGTAGACTGTCAGTCCACACGGCTGCCTGCACAGCTCCCCCATGCTTGTTGGGGGCTCGGAGGGATGGCGGAGGGTGGCTGTCCACAGGCTGCGCATGACAGGGAGGCTCACTGGAGGTGGTGCAATTTGGACGGGAATGTCAGGGGAGAGCTTTCTCTTGTTGGGCCACAAGATTCCACAAGGACAGCACGGTGACTGATTCCCAGCGCTAGAGGCGAGGCGGTTGGCCATGTGTAGGGGTGTGTGTGTATATATATGTGTGTGTGTCTATATGTGTATCAGTATTTGTAGATATTTATAGAACAGGGCAGGGCATACCACAGAGTATTTATAGATATTTATAGAACAGGGCAGGGCATGCCACAGAGTATTTATAGATATTTATAGAACAGGGCAGGGCATACCACAGAAGGGGAACAAGTTTTCAGGAACGGTCACACCTGGATGTGTCAGCTCACCACTACAACAGTCTAAGTCACACATGAAGGGGGCTGGCTTTGGGCTGGGGAGCCACTGTCAAGTCACAGGACACTCGCCCAGGCAGGCTTGGAAAGGGAGGCCTCTGAGAAGAGAGGATCTGTTTAGAGGTCAAAGTGGGGCCTGGGGATCTCAGGACAGGATGGATTTGTCTGACCCAATCAGCTGGCAGTTGGAGAGAAAGCAGAGAGAAAATGGGGAGAGAAAAGTGGGCAGAGAGCTGGTGAGGCAAGCACAGAGCAGGGGTGTGCTGCAGCAGCTGTGGGAGGGCTGGGAAGGGGAGGGCGCAGGTGCAGGTGTGGCAAGGTTCCTGGAAAAGAGGGGCTGGAAGGGAAAGGGGAGGAAGAGGGAGGAGCCAGAGCTTCACAGGTAGTGCCTGGGGGCTGCAGCGGCCCTCCCCAGCCCACACACGCTGGCCTCTCCCATGACACCCAGGCAGTGCACCCACAATTCAGACCAATGCTCAGCCCCTTTGGGCTTCTCTCTTCTCTGGTCACCCTCTCTTTCAACCCACTGGCCCAGGGCCACCTCTTGCCTTGGCGAGCTCCACCCAACAGCCAACAGGCCTGACAGAGAAAGAACACTGCTTGACCCAGGATGGTGAACCTTAAAGGAATGAATGGCTGGAGTGAGCGCCAGAGGCCCCTCTGGGTGGTCAGAAAGCCCAGGACCCTCTGAAAAGACCCTGGGGGAGGCAGGAAGGGCATAGGCCACTGGCCATAGACTTATGAGTCTAAGAAGGGAGCCTCAGCTGGTTGCAGGGTCTGCAGGTCACATAGGTGAGGCTGGGCCCTTCCTGCTGGGAAAAGCAGAAGAGGGACAGTCTGTGACAGGAGAGGTGGGTGGGCTCGCTAGGCGGAGTTCAGCTGGGCCAACAGGCACTGTGGTCCCCTTGGCTGAATGGCACAGTTGACCTCTAGGAGCAACAGGCCAAAGTGCCTGAGCCCACTGGCCAGCGATAGTGCTTCAGCGGGGGCCAGGGACCCTGCCCTCAGTCACATGCTAGCAGCTATGATGGTACCTGGGAGGGAGGGAAGGGGGCTGTGTGTCCCTGCCTGGTCTGTGAGGTGTGTTGTGGGATGACCACGTGTATGGGACTCTCAAGATTTTATCCCAGATCGCCACTGGATTGCCGACAGATAGAGGAGGTGGGACCCTGACTATCACCCCTGCTCTGCAGTGGATTCGGCTCTCGGCACTCCCAGTCTGGGAGCTGGATGCCCTGCCCTGGCAGCATGACTCAGACTGCATGACAGGTATAGCATGCCCAGGATGATGTTCCTAGGCCTCTGACCGCCTCACTATCCAGCCCCACATACAGCCCCCTCCAAGTTCCCAGCCCCTGCACCATAAACCATGAGCTCTCTGCCCTCTCTAATGACTCCAAAGAACACCCATACCTGCCAGCTTGGGAATGGAGCCTGTTCCAAGAGCCCACAGGCTCAGCCATGGAGGCTGGGGTGCTTTGGGGCTGTGGGGGCCAGCCCTGGTACCTGCATCCAGCTGGGATGCTCTGCACCTGCAGCCAGGAGTCGTCCATGGGCCCCCGTGGGCATGTTGTCGGTGGTTGTGTTGATGTCACTGATGATGATGGGCACCTTCCTCAGCACGTGGTGCATGTGCAGCATCTCGTTGCACCACTGTGCCTGCTCTGCCGACTCCTCCATCAGCATGTCCTTTTCTCCACGTGAGTGCAGGTTGGTCAGCAGATCCGAGAAGATGAACTCCTTGATCTTAGAGTGGGCAAAGAGGGAAGGAGGTTGGGACCTGATGCCTGTGCCACCCCGGCCACCCCGCCACGCCCTGCTGGGACTGTGCACTGGGCTTGGAGCCCCAAGTGTGGCTTTTCAGATGTAGCTTTTACACCACTTAGACTCGAAGACCTACTTCCCCACTGCCTTTTTTCACTCAGATGGGGACACTGAGGCCCAGAAGAAAAGTAACCTGTCCAAGGTCACAGATCAGAGAGGGGAGCCAGGACCTATCATGGCACCAGGACACCTGTCTACTCAG